GCTATTTGTTTATGGGTAGTACTTTTCCCCACCTGACCTCCTCACTCTATATAAGGCCGTCCGTGGGCGATCTAGGTTTACCGCTACGTCAACGGACTTTGTTCCTTAAAGGTTTCCTCCATGATGCAGCCGCGCGATGTGCCCGCCAGACAGACCGGCATGACTTCAGCCTGCCATCCGAACCGTATCGAACTTCGTACATCCAGGACTAGCCGATACGACCGCTCCTTTGATTATGGGTATTGTAATTGTGGAACAATCTAAATGAGGCTTTTACCAGTTCTTCCAACCTTAGATAGGTTGATAATTGGATTAACAAAGTTTTTTAAGCGCCTCTGAGTAGCCGCGGTCTGCTGGCTTCTGCGGCTGCCTCGTCGTAAAAAAAAATCTGGTGCAATATGTTAATCAATTACATAATAGATGATAGTTTGGAAACCTCCACAGGCACTAGAGAATTCTTCGTTCCCGGATGAAGCACAGAGCTTTCGCCCATGATTGCACGATGCATCTCCAGGGCATTAAAGGCAAAATGAAATCAGTGCTCTGAGGATGTTCGTGCAATCATAGACGAAAGCTGGGTGCTCAACGCAAATCTGACGCAAATGCTTTCCAGAAATCTAGGATGTATGTTGAATATTTTACTTATCTCAGCTTAAATATTGGATTGGCCAAAAACGATCCACTAAGTTTTATTCAAGGAGTTTTAATCCTGGAGTGCACTTTGTGAAACTTAAGCTAAATATATTTCTGTGTCACTATTATTTACTTACCCATAGAGTAAATATTGTTGAAAACTTGATACATCCGTATTACTTCGTAATAAAGCTCGTCGTAACTACCAGGAGTGGGCAGAAAGTTATCACCATATGTTATAAAAAAGTTCAAAATGTTGACCACTTTTATCGAGAGTTCAAATATATTTATCTTTTTCCCTAAATAATTTTCGTTTTGAAGGATGAACCTTAACAGTGAAATAAGTGAAGTCCATAAATCCTTCCACATGTAATTCAGTCTTATCCTGCATTTCTTCTGATAACAAAGTATTCTTTGTATAACTCCCATACACAGTATGTACAGCTCCATTGGAAATTTCTTCATCATATGACTCAAAATGAATTCCACCAGAAGATCTAAAAAATGGAAAAAATAACTGTCGAATAAATTTATGAAGCTACAGGCACGGAAGCGTAGTTTTCAAGTTATACGGACGTTAAATGAGCGGTGTTGACGCACTTTTAAGATGGATGCTATGGGCACGTCGTTTGGATTACCAATACAATGACGCTGTAACTCAACATCATGGTCGTCTCATTTGATGACCCCAGTCAAAACAATCCCATTACACCAAACTTGACGCTTGAGACTTTTCACGAATGAATAATCGCAAAATTAACCACGCTGCTCCAATGGATCCGGTGAGGATGGTTCAATAAAAATAGACCACCTAACAAAACGATTGACGTGAAATCAAGCCGTCTGAAGTGACTCGATTTTACAGCTCACTCAATACTGGCAACTTGGATCCGTTGATGAAATTGTATAGATAATTTGCATTACAAGAGAACCATCTAAATCAAGACTGACATCAATGCGACGAAAAACGCTGGAGGGATTTAACGTTCGTATAACATGCCACTAGTACTTCAGTATTACAACCTCGGGCATTCATTACAAAATGGAAATAGACAATGTTCGTAAGCATAGAGTTTGCAAGAGGACCTACCTAATAAAGTACATACTAAAGGTTGAGAAGAAGTAGTTTTCTCTGAGGATAATTTTCTGTGTCTCATAGGTAGTTTATGTAAGAGCACTTTGAAGGACAGGTTGAAATCGTGCATCAGCGAATTAGCATATTGGTCCTCAGTAATACAACTCAATATCAAAAAACACAACTTTACTGTATTGGTGCCTGCTTCTGTTTTTGTGTCTTGCATTACAATTGAACTGAAAGAAAAATATGCACTTTAGTCTTTTTGGTTCTACTTTTGACACAACAGCGCAGACTGGAAAATTCGGCTTGAGTCATGAAATGTACAGATGACGGAGTGAGATGGATATCTACCCCAAACACATAAGTCGTCGTGTCTAGTGCGCACGGTCCTCCACAAACCAAACTAATTATGATAAACAGTATTATGCTCTGTGAATTCAAGTCAAATGCAATTTGGAACTATACATACCTCATACCATAGTTGTAAACGGCTCTCAATAAGAATGTGAAATATTTCTATAACCACAAACTTACCAATATTGGAAGAAAATGACAAGTAGATTTGATGGTTGTGAAGTAACATCAACAGTTGCTGGAGCTGCTGATAAGTCAGGTATACCCTGTACGTAATTTAGGGTGTTATTTGGTGAAGGAGGTGAACTTGTAGCATCTGTCTGTGTTTGTGCTAGAGTTGTTATGAAATTCCTACAAAACAACAATAATAATTATTCAGAAACACCAAATTTTACGGAATAAAAAGAAGTTGTATCACTGTCAGGTAAAACTAGTTTTCTTGTCAAATCTAACCGAAGAGGTTAGTTGTTTGTGGGCTGACTTATCTAACAAAACTGACTGGCCTTGGCTGGAGGAGGGTATACTTTATAGCGCGTGTCCATATATCCGCATCGTACATATCGAAATGCTAAGCAGATTTCATAAGTCTTGGTATGTTATTAAATACAAGTGCATCCATTAATCCGCATTGCACGTGCGTCGGGAAAGAAGAATAGAAACCGCCCGGTATAGGATTTTCGCAGATTCCCATAATCAGAAGCGAATATCACATGATCAGTATTTCCTGCGGTCCGTACCATCAGTATTTACTAGCAATTCCATCAGTGTTAAGAACTTCTACGTAACCTTATACATCAACACATTTTTTACACCGAAGCAGCTGCGCACGCAAAGGCGTAAATGCCAGGGCATATGAAACTTTGTTAATTTGATTTTTGAACTGCCTGAGGTTAGTAGAACTGGCATGCATCAATACGCTAGGTTACAAGTACAATAAATACACGTTCAGTGGTAAATACTGAAGGATCACAGTAAATATTGGACGTGTGACAATTGCCATACGATACCGATATTTCAAAGGCTGATATATCAGCTTTGTCGGCTTATCGGTCATTTGTCTTTTTCTGCACATATCGAGTATGAAGACGTTAACCACGATATGCCTATGTAAGTCATAAGACGATGCACACTAGAAAACCACTAACACGAAGCCGATTTCAATAAACAAGTTTCAAGGGATCAGTTGCTTTTGGATATTTGCATATAGGAAACTCTCGTTAATTCTGACACTAGTAATATACTTTGCGTTAGTGGTGACATCTACTGAAAAATTAAAAAACATATGAAAATGTGTGTTTACCCATCGATGCAAGATCGGCAATACAGCACTGGATGATTCCGTCACGTTCTGAATGTCAAATTCTCTTTGCCTTGATTTTTAGTTTATCAGCTTCAAATCTAATAAAAAAGCTTTCAACTCGAAATGATCAATTGAAACGTAAAACTAGAGTCGTAGGTAAGCATTATAGTAGACACTGGTTTCGTAAAATTGCGTTTCTGAAATGCAGTGTTCATACTCCCAAGTTTTTTGATAGGTTTTCTATATCTTGCAAGCGAGTTCAGGTTCATGAAACGGGTTTTACCAGTATGAGTCGCATTTTATTCGATTTGTTTTGAAGGCAGGAAATTTAAAGCTGTACAAAAAAGTTCAAAATCCCGAAAAACTGCGGCTTGTGGAAATATTTCATAAAATTTTCAAACACTGACAAAGTCGTTAGTACAAATTGTATTACATATATGTGTAAAAAGAAAGAGAAAGCGGGTTACATTGAAATATCAATGAAAATATATACATATTTATTTGTCTTTTTTTCTCGATTCAATAATTATGAACTTTATCAACTATCTGAATTGTATCGGTCGGACTGTATAGGCGTATAATAGCTAGTCGCTTCGTCCGATTCATATACGGCCAACTTAGGCCGATACTGCCTATACACATCGGTATCCGTCGATCTCAGTTTTGGTGTTGAAGCCAAGTGACTGCTGTGGCATTAATTTCAATACCATACTTTTTTGAAACAATCAATTTAGTTATGTGAAGAAACGCATCAATTAAATTTGAATTATTACTAAGAGGTTTATTTATACCTAGTCTCAAAAGTGCCGAAAGAACTGCAGGGTTATTCCGTCAAAAACCTATAGAACGACAAAATGCTGCCTAGATATGAGTCACCAAATAGTAAATTCCCTGTTTGCTCGGCATGAGCGCTGTGAGCCTCATCAAAAGCGTCCATGTATGGAGGAATGACTCAACGACACGATACGCTCAACGAACATGCTGCAAGCTGGAAGTCCGATCCCCATCATGCTTTGTTGGTTGCAGAATGCCGAGATAGTCTGTAGAGTATATTCAGAGAAGATGTGTAGTCAAGTAGCAGAGTAGCAAGATCACATCTGGATGATTGTGTGGATTGGTCTGCAAGTGTATAAAATCAGTGATATTTGCTATGTGAGAAATTTATTACTGAATATGCTGCCCATGAAATACACATATTAGCTGTGTTGTCCTTTCTGGAGGGAGGTTATGTTCAAAGTTATACATTACGATTTTCCCCATTCTTTTTTCCTGCGTTTTCAAAAGCTTTAAGAAGCGTTACGGGGAATCAGCACCACACCCGCGTTAAGCTACGTCACAGAAATATTAGGAATGACGCATCACATACAAGACATTTTCGTACGGTCTCACATCTAGGTGCTGATTTGTATTTTCTACTTGACATCGTAAAATAAATTTCTATAAAATTTAAATGAATGAAAATACAAATTAATGTGAAATGTAGTAATCTTTTTAGGTTTCATAAATATTCCTGTATGTACCATATTTTCCTATCGCTCATTTTTTTAAATTCAGCAAATTTACAAATGTTATTTCCAGGTTGAATAAGAACTAACTACTAATTTTTAGCTTTAAATACATCTCAAGTAAGTATATTTGAGGCAAAAAACCTTTGGAATTATCATCAACACAGACTATTTCACACATCCTCACTATGCACACATGTACTGCCGTTTCCTTCCAGCTATGGTATACAACTTACAGCTTACATCTCCAATAATGCCATCTCTGAAGCAGATGCTACATCACATCAGAGCCATACATTGATAGCTGAAGCATCATTACGTTTAGGCAACACGTATAGCTACGGGACGGGTACACATCAAGTGTACAAACAGCCAGTACTAGGTAGACATCTTGTAGAAAAACCTACATATTGCCAAAAAAAGAAATATGTAATGTCAACAAAATCGGCATAATGTTACTATTCAGGATACGTAATACCCCTGCCGGGCCAAGGCTGTGCGCCCCGGTTTCTCAATACGACTCAAATTTCCGGCAAATCCCCAGACTTTCGGGACCGGGATTGACCCTCGCAAGAGTTCATTCCTACTGAATTAAAGCAAAACCCAACACAATTCTCACTGCATAAATAGGATTACACATCTGCAAAATTCATGGGGGTATTTTCGACCCGCAACTTAAATGGAATATTCACATGAACTACGTGCTGCAAAGATTTGGGAAAGACCTGTATACGTTACCACGCCTAGCGGAGTGCGTGAGTACATTTGTGTTAAGAACAGTTTATTATGTGCTACTCCATTCGACCATGTCAAGTGTTTTACAGATCAGGCGATGCGATGATTTTAGGACTGATTCTAGACAGGTTTTTAGATACTTAGGGTTTTCAACACTGCTCTCTTAATACATCTTAGACTGTCGACCGTAAATACGAGAGCCGAAGGTGACTTGGTGCTATTACCGGTGCTCTGGTAGAGAAATTTGTCTGCGGCCCACTGCCCGATCCTAGTTCACACGCTAAGTTAAGGATTCAAAGGGTGGTGGGGTAGTTTTGTTAGAAATTGGACCCTTGGTGGTTCTTAGTGTCGGGGCCTTTTTCTTACCCTTTTGGGAATTTAATCGTGCAAATAATTTCACTCAACCATCGAGCGGAGGGGGACCGCCTACAGGGTTAGTCCAAGGCGAGTTTGAGTGAGGCTCACGCCTGGGAGGAGCAGTTCCCCCATTTTTGGAGGATCCTCATTGTTAGAGGGTTCTCCCTCCGGTTTTAGGGTAACATCTTGGACTTCCTACCAACGGTAGACCTTCGGAGTTCATTTTTAATTTTTTTTTTTGGATAATCATTTAGCTAGGGGGGTAATACATACATTCATTCATGTTAGCCTGTCCTCCAGGACTTCTCCTTATTTTTTTTCTTTTCTCGTTCAATCAATGTCTATGTACCTTGTGAATTGGTGAGGTGGCATCCAAAAACCAAAGTACAAAGAAACTCACCCTGAGGGAGCTAATAGCTACCAACTGAGCACACAGTTTGTTCGGGATAACATTTATATATTTGACTTCTGCACGGCACCAGTAAATAGAAATTGAAATTAAATTTGAAAGTTAACTCAAACAGTACATTTTTTAGAAGACAAAAAACCGACAGTAGTAACCGAAATGAATGGATTAAATTTTACTACAAGGACCTATCTACACACATTTCAAATGCTGTTTGGGCTTTAGCCCGTAAAATAGAAACTTCAACGCTGAAGTTTCTGTTTTATCAATTACCCAGTCATTTGCAATGTTAAGACAAATCTATCCTTGAATGTCAAAACCAAACAAGTCCTTTAATTATTGGTAGCCCATGAAATAGAGATTTCAAAGTTGAAATTTTTTACTGGAGTCCGCCATTTTTTTTAATAAAATTTTAGTATTTAGTGTGACTCGCACTATCAAGACAATTCTAGAGATATCTCATACGTTAAAATCCATCAAGCCTGTGAAATAGAAGTTTCAAAGTTGAAATTTTCAATTAAAACCCGCCATTTTGTTTTTATTGAATTTCAATATAGTCCGCGTCACTAGCACAGCTAAGGCCATTTGGACAGTAGCCCGTGAAATAGAATTTATTGTCCATTAGCCACTGAATGTGGATAGCGTTTACCCGCCCATAGGTATACATACCTCATGATTATTTACTTAAAAAACATCTAATCACATCAGTCTTGAAGCAAGGCGCACTTGCCAGTCAGTGATTTTTGTGTTTAAATTGATCAATAATGCTAGTGATGATTTAGCTTTCTTGGGTCAGTTATCATTTAACGTACCTGGGCTGACATCCCGAAAAAACGTCTCGTTTTATCTACCTGCGGCACGGACAGATAATATACATAATTCCCCTTTACATGTGATGAGTAGAAATTACAATTCTGCAAATAACCGGATTGGTATATTTAACTGCAGAATTGCAGACATAAAAAATACCATTAAAAAACAGCATGTATCTTTTACACTTTGTAGTCTATTACTTATTATTGTATTTTATATATACAGGTATATGTTATGTTCTGTGTTTCCTCACCCTGTAATTGGTATTTACTGTAGGGTGTTGTAATGAATACAATAAAATAAATTAAAATAAAATTATACATATACGCCTACGCGCAAAAAATAATCCTCTTTCTGAGGCACTCGAGTAAAACCTGAAAAAAGCCGATTCCTCCCTAATAAACCAAGGGAATGAGCGCGAATTTTAAAAGGCTCAAATGCCATAATAAATAATGCTAAATTAAATTGACAGATGTGTAAAGATTTCACTTAAAATTCTTGATACATACCTATTTAGATGGATGGCTTCATACAAAGCAAGCAGTAAAGCATTATTAGCCCTAACTTGTTGTGTGCGAAAACCCCCCTCGTCAGAAACAAACATATTACCAACAATATTTGTCAGTGAGGAGAACCATGACGCATTTTGTTGTTCAGCATGTTCACTATTGTACTGGTTACAAAAATCAGCCAAGGAAGAGGTTATGACTTGACTGTACCCTAAAATTATTTACCAATCATTTCCAGTAAGAATAGTTTTCCAATCAAGATGACTCCATCTTGGTATGAATGAGTTATAGACACACTACTTAGCTCTACAGTGTGTTCCAATATTCCGTGGACATAGAAGTGTCATGTATTTTTAGACTCAAAATAAGTTGATTGGACATGATTTACCTCTTTTCAAAAGTGATTTGTTTGTCAGTCAGAGGCCATCAAAGTTTTTTGTTTTTCTGTGTTCTACTAACCTTGGACAGTTCAAAAGGTCAATTAAACAAAGTTTCTTTGAGAACCTCACAGCAGTCGTGAGGTCTCAACAGTTAAGTTTCTGCTTACTCGGCTGTATCAATATAAAAAAATAATCCTTGTGAGGGCTACTTCCTATTAAAGTCAAAAATTGCAATAATTGTCAATTAACTATTTACATCACACCCAAATCATGCCTTCTGATGCCAGAAAAACTCATCTGTCATCATGTATTACTGAGTACTTATATTCCTCATCTTAGGCCCACAGTATCTCTTAAACTGTACACTAAAAACCTTTGTGTACATAGATACCTTTTATCTGGACATTATAATGTAAATATACTACAAATTCAGCCAGTTCCTCTGAAGGCCCTTCCGCCATATGTTTTGTATGGTCTTTTTTCAACTTATAATGCTGCATGCGTAACTTCCCAGTTTTGTGAGAAGAGTAGAGGAATACAAATGCTTTTCATATTTTTAATGCTTTTCTTAGATATGTGTAGTGTCGAAGCCTCATATTTTATTCTATTAACGTTGGAAAAAGCTCTATCAATTATGATTAATTGGTACACAATTTACAAACATTTGGATGAACAGACACAAAACATTTCTCCTGATATTATCACGTGCACTTGTAATCAAAGATTACAAAAAATAAGGCCATTATAACAAATTAGAATGAAGTCACCAAAACAATGATTCTGCCCAAGAATAAAAATTTCATTTAATTTTATTTACCATTTAGAGCCAGCTCATCATCCAAAATAGACAGCTTCACAACATAAGGATTAGTGGCATCATATTTTCTATAATTAACAAGGAGTGTAATAATCAATACTACATCATATCCATGTCTCTGCCTGGTTGGCACATCACACAGTAAATTCACCAAGCAGTCAAAGAGTGGGGACATCATTATATACTCTATCAATGTGTTTTGATTTATTGACTCCACACCAGTGGTAAGGATTAAGATCAATTTTAGACATAATGCTTTAACTGTGTCTAATGAATCACCTAGAAAAGATCACAAGAGAGAGAATTAAATTAACATTATTACCTCATAAACATGTTTATATATTAACCCTCTATTGCATATGGTTCCCAAACGGGAACATTATATTTTTAGCTTGTCTAGTGTCGTCATCTAACGTTTAGATCCCCATTTAATGCGTAAGATCCAAACTTGAGGCATTGGGCACCGTTCCGTATAGTTTTTCAACCGATAGATGTTGCTAGGAGCACCTCATGGTTTGCATTTGATTTGACAGCGTCGCAAGCGGCCGTTCCAGATTGTTATCTCACTTTTATTACAAGAAATAGCTCTTTTGCTGCATTTAGGTGAGTGTTTTATTTTTTTTATTACTAATTATTATTGTTTGAATAATACTGTACAAAATGTAATTAATTTTGATGATATTTGTTGCCACGAGGTAACATAACCCTAATGTTCCCGCTCGGGAACATTATGCATCCAAGGTCAATAACGGAAATAGTTTGTCTTCCATTCTTTACTAAATAGCATTTTCTATTATAGATCCAAACGACAATGGATTTCCCTGAAATAAAACCAGGTGCATTGTATGGGCGTAAAAGGGTTGAAGTTCAGTTTATTCGCGGTATTCCATCTGACAGCGAGGATTCGGAACTATCACATGACGAGGATCAAGGTGAGATAAGAAATGCTTCTCGGGCAACATTAGTTTATATTCATTTTATTTACAGTGGAAATACCAATATCAACGAATGATTTGGGCACGGAAGACTTGCAAGATGCAGATTCAGACCCAGATGATATTCCCCTAGCACAACTATTTCGCCTTCCACCTAATACCAGGTTTTTCTTCTCAAAAACTGACGATAATATATCTTGGAAGCAGTCAACAACTATGAGAGATCCTCAAGAAAATACATTTCTTGGTCAAAGTGATCTTCCAGAAGACATCTTACAGATACATGGTGCATACAGTTTTTTCAAATTTTTCTTCACGGATGAATTTCTTGCACAAGTTGTAGAACAAACGTGCTTGTATAGTGCACAGAAAAGGCCTAACAAACCAATAACCACAGATATAAAAGAAATAGAGCAGTTGTTAGGAATAATCATATGGATGTCTCTAGTAAGACAACATTCCACTAGGAGACACTGGGCTGCTGGTACTAGGATACCTCAAATTGCAGATGTGATGCCTATCAATAGGTTTGAAGAGCTTAAACGCTTCTGTACACTTATGCTTCAATTCTACCAACAATTGTTTTAAGGAATTCCATTGTAATTGAAAGGTTTTGTCTCTTTTGGAAATATATGTATGTATCCTTAAACGCATGATGTTCCCAATTGGGAACACAATTTTTTTTTTATGTTCTGAATAAATTTCTTGAAAATAATGTTTGTGCCTTATTTCTATGACCATTCACATACATAAAACATGAAATAAAAAAATCTTAACAAAAAAAACAAAATTCATGCAATAGAGGGTTAACAAGTATCACTAATACTAATATTATTAGTATTCATACTTGATGGAATAAGTGTCACACTCAAGTGTTTAGGTACTCATAATATAAAACAAAGGTGTTAAATATTACATCTTGTTTTGTATATATCTTGTTACAAAAAAACATTGTAAAAATACGAGATATATCTTAGGCGAATGTCACACAATCAATGTTTACTGATTATTCTGTCAGTGTCTGTGGATTTCTATTTAACCTAAGGTATACATCAATAGAAAGACAACCACAGTATAATTTTAAGGAGCTACTCAAGTCAGTTGTTATCATAGATCTCTGGTATACTACTACTTCTATTAAGTTCATGGATTTTGATATAGAGAAAGCACATACCTTCAAGGTAAGTTTGACACAGCGTTAACAACTTTTGTATCTGATCAGGCAGATTTTCAAACCCTGATAGAAATTCTATTGCATCTATTTGGTTCTCTACAGCCGTTTTGGATAGAGAATCCAGTAGGGTGCATAGGGTTAACATCCCATAAGCTACTCTAATGTTATTTTGTTGATCCAGTATCTTTACACATTGGTTAAATAAAATGTTAATATTTGGTTTAGCTGCTTGAAGCTGTTCAACAGACATCTTTTGGATCTCATTTTCAAGAGTCGCTACTTTGGGTTTAAGTAAAAAGAATTCGTCCCAGAATAAGGCGTTATGCTGCGACACATCGTCGCCTTTCAATAAACATTCATATATTTGCACCACTTTTTCTTTGAATTGTCTCTTTGAGCCAGAACCACTTCGCTTTCTCGTAGCCATTCTGCTTTATGTATAATACAACTAAACGTTTTTATAGTTGCCGAAACATGTTAAAATTGCTGAAAATGGAAATATTCACAATATTAATATAAAAATAAAAATTTCTCTCCTAAGTCAAAAAATTGTTGTCGGTGACACTGACATTTGTCAAAAATCTAAACAGACGTATACTGACAACACTGACGTTGATTTTCCTACAGGGTTGTATCTGTACCATATTCAACCTTACGAATAATTTTTTGAGCTAAATTGTTATAGTTGGCATTATACTATACATTGTACAGACTTAGGATACTATAATTTATAAAGTAATTATAAAGAGCTATGCTTCGGTATAACTCTAGATACGTATATGAATATGAGACATATAAGGGGATTCCAACAAGTAATAATACCTAGTACGGACCAGCTCCATTAATGTCAAAAAGAGTAGGAACGGTAGGCGCACGTGTCAAAGTTTAGGCGGTAAATTTAAGGAGGGAAATGGAGAGCTGGAAGAGTTTTGATTTTGTAGCATTTTAATGTTGAATATTTGTGACATCATACGTTATACGTATTTCTTAGTGTATGCATCAGCCCATGTTTGACATCTACACAACTTGGGAGCCAAGTCTTTGTTTGTGTAATAGCACAATCCATAATACAATCATCCCCTCAAATCATTGAACGTCCCTGACTTGAGTGATTGGCTGTGGAAATTCGGCTTGGAAACTACTTTATCGAGCTCAAAATTGAACAAAATTTTGCAGAAAAAGAGTGAGTATATCAAGCTATAATATTCCGATAAATATTTGCGTGGTAACCTGAACTCTCAAATGTAATATTCCAATGAAAAATCTATTCTCTAACAGTTTTCCATTTCTGTAAACTGTTGACAACCACGCACCTACGCGATCTGCGCATGCGCCCTGGCCGCTCAAAATAATATTGTCCGTTCTCTTGTTTCTTCTAGCAGTTTTACAAAAAGTGTCTGGCTTTTGACTTTATTTTCGTGAAAATCTATCTCTAGTGGAATAAATTATTCATGGATTAGCACACCTAGTATTCGATTGACCAAGTGAAGGTATTTTGAGGTAATTTACTGTTTAAATTTAGCAAAAACTGACAAGCAAAGTAGAGTGCCAATTCTCCTACTCTGTAATGTCTTGAGAAAATTCCTGAATAATTTTCATTTATGGTGCAACATTATTTTTTAAAATTTACAGTCACCTCCCAGGCATATCAGTTATTATTTAATGTAATTGAAATGCTCATAATTTTCAATATTGAACAATGAAATATAAATTAGAACAGTTAAGGCATTTGTACACAAAATGGACTGTTTGTGCACTTGATGTTTTGGAGTGAGAGCTCTTTCTCATGATAATTTTTGATCCATCCAATATTTTTGCTTAAATCAGCGATGAATAAATTGTTCTAGGTTCAATTTTGATTGTGGATTGCAAAGAGCAAAATGGTGTCCACAAGGCAAATGACTATAGGGAACAATGGCAATGGGGAAGTGTATCATAATCATCAGCCCCCCACTGAGGTGAGCTACAGGAGCACCAGAAATGGAGCAGCTGGGACAAGTACAAGCACTGCAATACAGAACACTAAACCACCTTCTCCACAACCAGTACAATCTGTATATTTTCTGGACCTTCCACAGGAGGTCATTGAGAAAATTTTCAGTTATCTGTCTTTCAAGAACATATGTCAGTTGAGACTGGTGAGTTTAATTTTTAACATATTTAATCTTTATTTGATTTCCTTCTGAAATTGTTGCATTCACTTTCTTTAATATTTTCATTCCCAACTGAAACTTCATTAACCAACTTTATTTTTTGAAATTAATTGAATATTTGGTCTTAAGCCCCTGAAAAATGTGTTTGGCCTAGATATGAGAATACTGTTGGGTACATCATGAATTTGAAACAAATTCAAATTAACACCAATTTAATATCTAAATGGAATACTAAAAATTATTCTATAATGACTAGGCTTTAAATATACTGAAAAATATATATTATATTATTATGGGTACTACCTACTCCTCATTCAATCTTTGGTCATCACAAGTATAAATCCAGCCCAAAATATGCAATTTCAAATAAATAATTTTGGAACGTTTTTTATAACCTAACAAATATCACACTAAAAATGATACCTATGATTTTTAAAATGATTATATATACACAAAAATATCCCTTCACAACTATTTAATACCTTTTTCACTTTCATCGCCCAATTACCAGATTGTTTTTAGAAAATTTTTGTTGATTTTTGACTTTTACTGACCTCTTCAGACATTTCTAGATAGTTAGATCTTCAATCTCTTAAGAACAAAAGAATAATTTTGAAACAAGTAACACTATATAAAAGTCCCAATTTTACCAAAGTATGACATCTTTGTTCTGTATATTTACTTTACCCATGTTTGAGGTATCTTTGGAGTAAACATTTGGTGTGTACTGTTGGTGAGATTTCACAAAGAATTTTGTACTATAACATAAAACAAGTATCATCTTTAGATGCTGGGCTTAGTTTCACAAGCTTACACACATTAACGTACCTTTATAGTAGCCATACCCTTAAACTCTTAGGTACCAAAATCCCTAATAATTTGCAAGTTGACATCAATAGTCTAGTAGAGTTCAGTATCTTACAAACTTTCTTAACCACAACATCTTGATATAGCATATTTACTAACTTAAATTTAGCCCACTATTAGTACCTAACAAAAGAGCCATTCCTGCAAAAATGTGCACACAAAATTTCCAGATTTTCTTGACATTGGCAAGTCAGTGTTGCAAATAACAGGTGGTGAAAGAACATGCATTGATCAGCATATCTAACAAACTGTTAGCTTCTTCCTTAGTGAATATGCTTCTGAAAACAAAGAAAAAGTTTTTAAAACTTGAGCTGCTTGGGCCTTAAAGATTTAAAAGCATATCAAAAGTAAATGCATCAAAAATGTAAGGTCAAAATGTAGTTTTAATTGGATTATAGCTATTTAATCTCACTGTAAAAAATATTTACCTAGCTTTTGCAAGAATCTTATATATTACATAAAACAAAATTTAACATTATAATACTAATACAACTACTAATAACCTACAAAGCTTCATTAACAAAAAATGGTCTATGTTGCACAACTGTTGTTTTTTGTGATGCATTAATTTCTTGGAATATTAAATTAATTTTGAGAATGGAAGGAGTTTTGAAAAACACAAATGTAATCTTGGTATCACTATAACAGTAGCTGACATAACTAGGTAAAATCTCGTTAGCACCCACTACTTCTTATTCGAATCTGACAGAGTACCCTATACTCAGCTAAATTAACATTTTTTTGAACATATACAGCAAACTCCAGTTATAACATACCCTCCAGGGAGGAAAAAATGATCACTTTCTAACTGGAGGAACACTATAAAGGAAACCCATAAAAATAAATATGTAAATTTTTATTTGATTCAATTAAAGGACTAAATTAGCTAAACATACATTCTAGCTATGTAATATAAAAAAGATATAGTAACAGAACATTGAAATAGGACATAATTATGGATAGTTATGATTCTTCGAAAAAATAACTTATTTTTGTTTGTTGATTTTTTTTACTCACTTTTATATTCTCAATGTGCTTCTCGACTTTTATCAAAGCTTGTAAAAATTGTATAATCAGATCCGTAATTAGTAAATTGTAATAAAGTTTTAATTGCACAAAGTGCTTCAGAATAAATTGGATTTGGTTTGTTCACTTGTCCATCATCATCGCCGCTTTCGTTATCGGCACTTAGATCATTCGTTAGATAGTTTGACTCTTCAACTCTGGGCAGTGATTTCACAACCAATCTCTTAGGGGGACGATTATCATCATCAACTTTTTTCTATGTCTCGTACCACTGATTCAGAGGCATCACATCAGCATGGTTACTTACATGGGAGATCAACAGATACTGCAATCTTTCAATTTGTTGCACTTAAAATTGCCACCATTCCCTTGGATAAAACTTCCACTTGCTTTTAAAATGGGACCACTTATAGGAATATTTTCGGTTCTTCGCACCTCAGACCATCGTATAAGAGCTTGATCTACATCTGGCCATACGGGATTTCTAATTTTCTTAATTCTTTACGATTTATGTTCACTTGCAATTGTAGAAACTGTTGTTTTTGCAATATTTTTCCTTCTCGCAATTTCCGGTTTGCCGATGCCACTTTCGATATTTTTAATAATGTCTATCTTTTCTTTCAAACTTCTAGCTTTGCGCGTATCTGTCATTTTAACAAAAAAATAAATACTAAATATTCGCACAGTTAAATGCAACGTCCAATCTAAATCTACCTGACATCTCATTCCGCGCTATAAAAATTCCCAGAATATGACTACTAAGTGGGTAAAAATATTGAACCTTATAGCTGGAGTTGAAATTTTAATCAGTACGATATATCCAGTAAAACTACAAGACTATTTGGGCGGGTCCAATGAAATAAGTACGTAATAACCGGAAGTACGATATATCCCATGTACGTTATAGACTGAGTACTATATATATATATATATATATATATACAGTAATGGACAAAAGTATATATAGACAAATATGAATATTTACCTAAATACCGTTAAAAAGCGAATTCTTACTTCATTGCTCCATAAACAAATGCGTTATTAGTAGAAAAACTAAATTCCTTGTATTTACATTATCTGCAATGGACACAATACAAGTCTGAATATAAGCATTTTTTTATGAGGGACAAAAATATGTAGACAAATCCTTTTCAACATTAGTTTAGTATAGTTTCGTGTCAGAAGAGGATTAGTTTGTGTTCATCAAGTATTATGGAATAAGTTGAGTGATTTTAAGACCATGCCGCGTGGTCCAGAAATTTCTTTCGATGTGAAAACTACGATCATTGAGTTATACAATGATGGTCAACGTCAAGTTGACATTGCCAAAAATTTGAAGCTGAAGCGTAAAGCAGTTTAGACAATATTGAACAAATATAAACAGAAAGGTATCTTGAAAGCCTCTAAGAGAAGTGGTCAGCCTAGAAAACTAAATGCCAGATCAGTTAGATTAATAAAAGTAATTTCGTCCAAAGATCCGTTTAAAACCCCAAGACAAATAAAAGCCGAAATCAAGACAAAAGGAATTGTCAGTGTTTCTACGAAAACTATAAGTAGAAGATTAAATGATTTGAAGTTATTTGCACGTCGTCTGAGTAAGAGGCCGCTAATCTCGAGGAAAAACCGTGAGGACTGATTACAATTTGCACGGTTGCATCTTGATTGGAGCATCTGTGACTGGAATAAGGTATGTTTCAGTGACGAATCCAAGTTCAATATGTTTGGATTAGATGGTGTTCATTACGTTAGATGTCCTAGTGTACAAAGATTGAACCTCAAGTACACTTTGCCCGCTGTCAAACATGGAGGCGGGTCTGTTATGGTTTGGGGGTGCTTTTCGGGGTTTGGCTTGGGACCTTTACATAGAATAGATGGCATCATGGATAAGTTTGTATACACAGACATACTAAAGGATGTCATGTAACCCTATATGGAAGACAGGCTCAAGATCAATCTTCAAGCAAGATAATGACCCGAAGCACACTTCAAATCTTGCAAAGAAATTCTTTCTGGATGAAAAAATACCAGTTCTCAAATGACCTTCACAGTCTCCCGATATAAACCCCATTGAAAATCTATGGGAATAATTAGATAAGCAAATACGAGATAAAAATTATTCAAACAAAGATGAACTTTTTGCCACTTTAGAGCAAAAGTAGAGACAGATTGATGAATCTTATATCTAGAAACTTCTACAATCTATGTCGAGACAATGCCAGGCGGTGATTGATAATAATGGTTATGCTACAAAATATTAACACAAACATGGTTAGTTTTCTATAATTCAATGAACTTTTCTTTTTTTCAATTAATTTTTTACTGAACGGAGTCTAATGAATTTATTTATGTATAAGTGAGTATTATGCTATAACAAATTATGTATACAGGTTGGTGTATTAATAAAACAAGTTGAAAAAGAAATACAGCACAATATTAATTTCTCTATATACTTTTGTCCATTACTGTATATATATATATATATATATATATATATATATATATATTTATACAGTTTGTCCCAAAAATTAAGGATAATCCTGAAACTGTAGATAGGTCACATAAATGGCCTACTAGATAGCAAAATTTTGTTTTAGTAAAAGTCTTATAGTTTTCGAGATATTCAGCATTCATTTTTTTTTTGAAGAATTGGCTTATATTCAGCACTTGAGGAGTAACTTTTCAAAATGCATTATGTCCATAAATATTTTTATCAGTAGCAGCAAAAAACAAATATATTTTGTTCCCATTCGTTTTAAACCTGCATAGCAAGATATTTTTATAGATATAGGCTGATTCTTCTAATAATCATTTTCATTGAAATCATAACTATTATTCGTTGTAGAAAAAGGTCAATGAATAGTTGGACATACTGTTTTTTGATCCACAACTGTGCATATAATATGTTTCATTGAGGCCTACATTGGACATAATGATCTTTGTTGCAAACATGTAATAGAGAATAAAAAAGGCAGAAGCCAAATGAGCCGCGTTTCATTTACTTCACAATAAAACGCATAAAACCGAGATACAAAAAATCACTTTAATGCAAAACAACACATCAAGTACGATCACTGTGCCAATAAGTTGAAAAAGTTGGTCAATTATTAGCAATTTTTAAATGATATTATTGTTATTCGCCCTCTGCTTTTGTTTTTTCCATTTTATTGCAGTTATAATGGAGGAGGGTCAGTTTTTGTAGATATCAGCAAATAACAATTTAAAGCTTGGATACAAAAATGGACAGAATTGATGTTGAAGGATAATTTACATTTAAGATATTAATGTAATTGAATATTATAGATAACCTACATAAAACAAACAAAAAATAACCGCTCGAATGCTCGAGGACGGTTCAAATTTGGAAATCAGCTTGGTATACAAATACTCTAAAGCAACCCTGATGAAAAAATTAGTGGACTTAGGCAATGAAATAAAGCCGCACAGCCTGATCCACCTTCATGAATCTTGCATGCTCTACCAGAGGTGGTTTCTCGAAGACATCTACGTGAAAAAATATTCATCCGAGAAGGTTTCGCAAAGGGATTATTCTCAAAGCTAAACGTCAAAAGGTACAGGGCATGTTTTAGGTCCAATGGTTGTCACTTTGAACATCTACTCTAAAAAATTTGATAAAAACCAGGTAGACATCAATCATGTTCCTTATTTCTTATTCGTATCATAAAAGCATTTTTGTGATAATCTAGAAGCAACAAAATAACCAATAAGACATTAGAAAACATCACCATTCTGCAAAACGCATGAAACATACATCTTTTTAAAGTATTTGGCATCAATCTTGCCGAATGTGATATAACAGAGTATTATCATAGTTGAGTGATCCCTAACAGCATCATTCTGTACTTGAAATGGGAGAAACCCGTATAGAAATTATTCTAAAGTCTGAGTTTCTAAATAAAACATCATCACGTCTATAATAAAGCAAACACGTCTGCTGCAACATAATAGTACTAAATAATACTACGGCACATCACAGTCTGACAGATCGAAACCATTCCAATTACACAAATTCAACATTCATCAAGGTGGATCAGGCTGCACGGTTTACTTCATTGCCACCAAGATCGTCGGGCCTAAATCCACTACATTTGATGGAGGTGCGTTAGGCAATTTGTATACCAAGCTGAGCTGACAACAGTATCAGAATTGGGTTCCAAAACTGAACCAACCCCGAGCATCGTAGCGGTCATTTTTGTAGTTAAAAAATGTTTTGACTAAAAATATAAGTCCTGCATAACAGTTGATAGTGCTCATTACATTAATATCTTAAATGTAAGTTACACTACAACATGAATTCTACCCATTTTCTGAACCCAAGCTATAAATTGATATTTTCTGATATCTACCAAAACTGACGCTCCTCCATTATAACTGCAATAAGACGAAAAAAAAAAAAACAGCACAGTGCGAATAAGAATTTGAATATTGCCAATAGTTGGCCGACTTTTTCGACTTATTGGCATAGTGATCGTACTTGATCCTCTCAATCTACAGGGTGTCAAAGTCAGACGTAAGAACGGGTTTTAATAAAAATTTAGACTTTGACATGTCTTCTATGTGGATTTTTCAACACTATGGAAAAATAATACTGGTGAAGATTAAATGCTTAATTCCAAGTGTTTTAAAACATGAATTGTTCCAAGAATTTATATTTGTAGAAATTGCTTGGGATTAACTGAATATAAGCCAGTTTTTTTTAAAAAAAAGATGAATGATGAAAGTCTTGAAAACCATAAGACTTTTACTAAAGTTGCAAGATTATCCTTTAATTTCGGGACACCCTGTATAACCACACAAATGCCCTATAGATAATACAGCATTTTTTACGTTGCTGACATTAAAAAATATGCGTGAGAAACTGTTTTTGATTACCCATTTGAAAAAGCATATCTGGGTTAATCAATGAAATGTACTCAACCAATAACTAAGAATATCTATTATCAATGTTTCAGGTATGCCGGACTATAGACCGCATCTGCGGCCATATCCTAAACTCCACCTTCATGAAGCTGCAGAACCAGATGCTGACTCGCTTCCAAGACATCAAATCGAAGATGCCTAGAAGAGAATCTGCACGTCGCAGTCATCATTTGGCAGGCGAAAGTGACATCATCGAGACTCTTCACATGCGGTTGACGTTGTTGCAGATGTCCCTGGGCAAACACATCGAGAGAAAGCACATATGCTTTTTCCCTGGAGACATATTAGATGAAGTAAGGGTTGTTAATGCTTATTACAGAACTACCACTATTTGAGAAAATCGGGGATTTGACGGATTTTGAATAATTCATACATTGGCAAATGAAGGAAAGTATAGATATTAGTTTGCCATTCAATCTGGCAACACTTGAACAGATGCATTTGGTAGTTAGAAAGAGATATTCAGAATGTGATATCCTCTACCCAGACAAAGTTGCATTTTAGTAGCTGAAACAAATTTTTTAATTGGTTTTCACGGCTGGTGTGATTTAACTTAATTTGAAATCTGTACGATGATACTCTCCCATTGGAGGAATCAGTCAACATGAATTGATTTTAATCCAGGATGCTAATTGAATGTGATCATACATGATGCCTTCGTCCATCCGACCAAAAGTACAGCCAACCATGGACAGCTGTTTCTTGCTTCAGCAAGGTGTAGGCTTGGTTTCTCGTTTCTAGGACAATGAAAGAAAGAATCGCAACAATCCTCTATCCCGAAGGTACACTCAATCGAAATGAGACAGCACACTGTCTTATTTTATACATTTCATGTCAAATGTCAGCATCAGAGAAGAAAGGTAAATTTCCACAAACTTGACAAGCCTGATCTCCATCCATGACCTAGTTTGAAATGGTACATGCTGCTAAAAAAAAATGCGGCTTTGGTGCGAAATGTTTTCTTCTCGTTGAAACTTTTCCACTGTTAATTCATGAATTTATGGTAAAAGTGAACACTTCCAAATGTTGTTTGTGATATACACTAGATCTTAGAACATAGTTTTCTGTGGCAAAATATTAATACTCTATCAAGTAGTAGGAAGGTTGGATAGATAGGTGTGCTAGAGTGTCAAATATCTACATTGGCTCGAAGGCTCCTGGATTCGAATTCTAGTCTCCACAGTTTCATTTTGAGCTATGGATTGTTTTTTACTTTCTATTCTCTATTTTCATAGTTGGCCTAAGGGTTATTCGTTACATCTTTTGCGTGCCTCATTCAATAGCCCTGAGGAAGACGTAAAATAAACGCTGAAACGTTTGCAATTTGATTAAAGAGATTTTTTAACACCTTTTGATTTATCCCAAGATCCTATTTCTTTTGTATCATTAACTTTATTACACAACTTTTTTTTTACACAATATCTCATGTTTAAGTCATGAAAATGCCTGTTATAGTAGAATTACTTAAAGTTAAATCGGCTAGATGTACCAAAAATGGTTTTTACCATTAGTTTGCATTGGCCCAGTTTATAATTCTTTTTATGGTTCTGTACAAAGAAGGATATAATTGGATTTCATTTGGAGACTACCTCGCTTTTATCAATGTGTTACTATCCCCCATCACAATGTTATTTGTCTGATGTCCTGAAATACCTTGAAATGGTTTATCACAATTTTAAGGGGTAATATATGGTCGTGTAGTTACAAAATCAGTGTAATTGATGGGCAGAAGAATCAGAGAAATAAGTTCCTCATGAAACTTCCCGATTTTCTCTTAATTCTACATGTTACATTCAAATATACACCATACTACTACTGTTTAGTTAATCTGATTGGCAACTTCATTTTTCCACAGGTTCACCATATCCTGCATTATATTCGCGTGACTCCGAAACTAGATCTGCCATATAAAGTCACTGATGAGCTATTCGATTTATCTACGATGGCGATGGAGTATTTTAAGGAGAAGATCGAACCTAATCTTCCGGAAATTGCTTACTTTAGTACCGATTTTCTAAACTTCCCTGGAAGGTTTCCAAGCACAAGTTCTAGCAAGTATATGTCTTTAAATTCTGCACCAGAAAATTCAAAGGATGGCGATCAAGTAAGTTTAATCAACGTCAATATCTGCGAAACATATATTGAAACTTATATTTCAAGTGCTCTGCAACAGCCTATTATTTCAATTTCAGGCCTCTACGGACGAGTTAGAAAATGAAGATTTTGTAGAAATCCCTCAATCAAATATGGTTTTGCGGAAGCGCATACGTAAAATAAAGCAGGGCATGAAACGATATAATAGTCAACTGTCCTTGCTTAGGCAAGATCTCAGATCTTGCAAAAGGAAGACCTCTGATCAACAAAAGCAAATAAGTGAACAACAAAAGCAGTTGGCTGACCAACAAAAACAGGTATTTTTTTATTTATCCGATGTGCAATACCACTAACTTTTGTTTGGAAGATATGGTTAGAAAATTTGAATTGATGTCTACCTATGGCAATACAAATTACACAGCTGGTGATGTTTAAATTGTTGCTGTATAAAACAAATAGGTAACTCGAAACTGTGTTCACTGTGTTTTATGAAACGCAGTTTCACTTTGCTAAACTTGGAAAAACGTTTTTCTGATACTGCCACGTTCAAAGTGGCCATTTGGAATTTTAATTCAGATTGAATGATTTTCTATATGCGCTTTTTCATAGATTAACAGAGAAAATGAATAGGGCTTTAGAATTTCGAAGGAATTTTTAAATTTAGTAGGGTTACTGCTCAGTTTTAGGTACAATGAGCTGAGTTGCCAATATCTGATCAACTTTTTTTTATTTTGTATGACCGTCATCATCAGAATCCACAGGGTGAGTTTTGAATGTAGGCTAAAAAACTTGAATACAGAAATTGCAGAAAACAGTATGCTACTGACTTGGAAAATACTGGGTGATTCAGAGAAAATTTTCCTTTTCGAACGCATTAAAAGTGGTGAGAAAGTAGAGCTGTACGTGATGCTTCGTCGAAAAAAAAATCCTGGGTTAAAAGATTTTGAGAAACAGGTACAGTGGCAAATCAGAAGCACCCAGGGAAATAGAAGTCCATCAGAACGTCAGAGAACATACAGATGGTGCTCCCTGCTGCGAATAACAATCCCAGGGGCTCAATCCGAAAACATGCTCAGGCCTTGCATATTAATCGTTTAAGGGTTCAACGGATTTTAACCAAAGACATACAGTTTCATCTGTACAAAATTCAATTGGTACAGGTTTTAAAACCTACGAACCACGAAATCCGAAAAAATTGTTGTGAGGCAATGATGAATACGTTTTGGGATGAAGGAGGCTTCGACCACATTCTATTCAGCGATGAGGCTCACTTCCACCTGGAGGGCTACGCAAAAAAATAGAACTGTTGGTACTGGTGTGACAACAACCCAAAAGAAAAGCATCAAAAACAAATGCATTAAAAGAAGGTTACAGTTTGGTGTGCCATGTTGACTACTGGAATAATTGGGTCCTACTTTTTTGAAGATGCCAGGGGCTGCTCTGTAACTGACAAGCCAACAGTACACTGCAATGCTTCAGCAATTTTTAACTCGGGCTCTTCAAACCTTTCCTGGCTATGACCCAAATGGGACCTGGTATCAACAGGATGGGGCGACAGCACATTCAGCAGCAACATCAATGAACATTTTACGTGAATTGTTTCCAGGAACTGTTATTTCAAAATTTGGGACAACACTTTCCCGCCAAGATCCGGAGATTTTACGCCCCTCGATTTTTTTTGTGTGGATATTTAAAGAATATCGTCTACTCCGATCCTCCAACCACTACGGAGCAGTTAAAATATAACATTCGTCAGGCAATTAACAACATTCATATTGAAATGTGTCAGCGGATATCCCAACATTTAAGAGCACCATTGGAGGAGTACTATGAGCAGGATGAACGACATTTGGACAACATTGTGTTTGAGAAGTGAAATCCGCATCCCTGTACTTTCCAAATTTTATGATTAAAGTTATCACAACACTTTTAATTTTGTTTTTTTTTACCATGTTATAAAGGGAAATTTACTCTGAGTAACTACGTTTGCTGTATTCACTAATGACAATGAAGCTCCACCAGTATTGATAATCAGTTCCTGTGTTAGGTTTTCACGGCTATTGTTGGAACAAAAAAAAGCATAACAGAACGCTTAGAATTTAGTTTAATTTCAGATTATTGTTATTAGAATAAATTAGTATATTATGGAGATCATCATTAATATCCTGAGCTGCTCGTGAAACGTTAGATGGTGGGTGAGACTTGAGTATCATCAGCATAAGCTACAATGGATGAATGAGAAACTAAATATTAGATAATATAAATAATATAATATAAACTTAAAAAAAGTAAGGGGCCAAGAACGGAACGCTGTGATCACCGGTCGTGACGAAACATGGTTCAGATAATTTATCATGTACAGAAATTACTTGCTGTAAACTGTATTTGCAAAGCTTTTTACCCTCAAGAACTAATCAGAATATCAGTTGAAATGCAACTGTTTTTCTCTTTATTGTCTGGCGATTCTTACTTATACTCGAGCTTTATTTGATTTTTGAAACTTTCAACGTTTTTTAATAGAACAACTATTCGATTGCTTCACGCCGTAACTTTGGAACAATGTGATTTCAAATAGCAAAATATTGCATTATTTCCTGTCTATGTTCTATGTTTTGTTTAATAGCTTACTTTCATCATTTTGTTTTTAGACTTTGGAATACGCCAGTCGCTTAGACGAATACGACAAGAAAAACGAAGAGATATCGCGCAAGTTCAGCGCTCTTCTGCAAGAGCTGAATAAATGCAAGACAGAACTACAATACTGGCGTTGCAAATCGCCAGCTACCGCAGCTTCAGGTTCGGCTTCGGGCTCGGGCGCAGCTGCTCCGCCTCTGTGCGCCCAGTGCGGAGCAGCCGTAGCCCAGCAAAGGATCCCTGATGAACAGTTGCAAGGGGCTGTTGTTCAACAACCGCAGATAGAGGGCGGAGAGCAGGCACTGATGCAACATCAGCTGCTGTTTCATACTGCTACGCCACCTGGCAGTCCAGCACATCAGGCCGATCTCTCAGGTAAGTGTTAGTTGTATTAGTTGAGACATGTGGCAAGTTTTTAAAGTCAACTTATTTTCCATTATTGACTTATGCGCTTTATGTCAAATGACGTCATTGACACCCGTGAATTCACCCTCTAAATTAAAATTATAAAAAATATAAAAAACGTGCTGATGAATTCGAACTGTCACATGTCGAACAGTCAAACGCTAAAACAACTTCACTACTGAGCCTAACCTTTTTAAATCATCTGAACTATGATTCGTGTATCTAGCATTTAGTGCAACAGGGTCCATATAATCTTGGTTCCTAATAAGAGTTTTTCGCTTTCTCTCTATAAATATTGTATAGCGTATTTCTGGGTTCTTTTGGGTGTGAATTAAAACACTGGACTAGATAGAACATTTGTGTACACCACTATTTATGTCTGACTAATTCTTATGTCCCGCCATTGACTGGACTATACTCCACTCCGCTCTGCTACTCTACCGTACTCCGTACTCTGCTTCCTTCTACCGGCCGTCGAGTTATATATAGTCCCCATCGCTGCTTCGAGAAAGGCCTGGCGAGCCACAAAGCGGCATCTAGAATATTCGAGGTCTCTTCGCGTTGATCTAGAAGGCGAGTCACTGGTACGGTCCTCAACAGAGGTCGCCAAGCGGCTTGTGTGGTCGTGGTACCGCGTAAAAGCAGAGATGGGCTATGAAGTTCTGGCGAGTAGGAGAGACTCTTAACAGATGGCGCCAACAGTACTATTTGTTATCGTCACAATATTATTTCCAGGGTACTTGAATCACTTTTACAACTTCTAGTGCTACTGCTGCTTCTTGTATGTAGTATTTTCTTTAGCAAAAAAATATTCAATTTTGAAAAATTATACTTTCTAACGAAGTTTATGTCGTTGAGTCCAAGCTCCTTGACGTCTTGAGGGTCCAAAGTAATGGACCCCAGTATAGTCTGCCTAGAGAGCTTCATAGCGACACAGATCGTGCGCCAAGGTCTCTTCCTATACCCCGCAGCGCTCACACAAGGTGTCCTCAGCCACCCCCGGTGCCTTAACGTGTTATGGCCACCAGCAACCTTAGGTTGGCTCTATCCAGAGATAACCTGAAACGTCCATAGTTAGAGCTGGGCCCTAAAATGAGTTTCTATGCCTGACGGAGACGTCTGGAGATACTTCTCCATTTCTGGGAGTGTTGTTTTGCAATCCACGTCTCCATTTTTATCCTAACTCGTTGCGCGGGCAGTCCTAAAGCTGCCTCAGGACAAACGAGCTTGCTGGCTGGTACTATCTTTGTCAGAGCGTCCGCCGTCTCGTTGACCTTATCCCAGCGTGCCCCGGTACCCACATTAACGTTACCGGCACGGTTATTATGTAAAAAATCCATAAAAACCCTAAAAAACCCATGAGATGTCATCTTGCAGACCAGGTTGTTTTTAGGGTGCAAACAGTCATTCCACGTTTGCTCACTAGGATCGTTGTAAGCGTCCATCTATGGAGGAATGGCTCAACTACACGTACACTTATTGTTGGTTGCATATGTTTTGTGAAGCCGAGTGGTCTATAGTTTTCGTCTATGAGTATGTGCTCTGAGTCTGAGAAGAAAGTTGGTTATTTGGTTGAATACCCAGATCGCATCTGGATGATTGTGTGTATTGGTCTGCATGTGTATAAAATCAGTGATATTTGCTATATGAGAAAATTATTACTGAATATGAAGTATATCTATTAGCTGTGCCCGACGGGTTATTTATATGTTGTCCTTTCTAAAGACAGGTTATGTTCAAAGTTATAAATTACGAATTCTTACGTTTTTTTTTGTGTTTTCAAAAACTTTGAGGAGAATTACGGGCCATCAGCGCGCCCCCGTGTTGTTAATTACTGTTAGCATGTATATGGCTTGTAATTCGCCAGTGTACAGTGAATATAATTATTTCTTATCTCTCTCATTTTTGAAATCTAGCAAATTTGCATACGTAATTTCCAGAATGGATAAAAAAAGTGAATGCGCAACTAATTTCTAGCTTTGAATCTCAAGCAAGCGTATTTGAGACAAGAACCCAATGGAATTATCATCAACACATATTATTAGCACACAAATCTTCACTATGCCGTTACCTCCAGTAATGCCATCTCTGAAGCAGATTTTACATCACATCATAGCCAAAAATTGATAACTGAAGCCTCATGACGTTTAGGCAACACGTACTACTACAAAACGAGATTACAAAAGTGTCCATCAGCTAGTGCTAAGTTAATATCTTGTCAAAAAACCTACATAATGTCAAAAAAAATCTGTATAACAATCTAGAGCCTCCCTGCAACGTTCGAAGTAATCTTACAGGCACAGTGCCTTCAAATCGTACTTAGATAGTTTGGCAATTGAGAGTCAGAAAATATGAATTTACCCCGAACCGTTTTCATTTTCTCCGGGGATAATTTGAATTGGGATTTCAATATAAATTGCATTAACAGTGGCACTTTTACAAGCCTGGATTTTGAATCAATTAACCTTATTCAACTGAGTTGAAATTTTGTATGCCTGTCTGGTTCGTGTTACAATAGATAATGAATTAACTGCTGCCATTTTGAATCTAATAAGGCGTATGCTATATAATGTCGATTTAACATTTCCATAGTATATTATGATATACGACCCCCTTCCCACTTCAGTTGGCCCAACTATTGAAATCTTAGCTTTTTCTTATCAAACACAAATAATAAGAATGTAGCAGGGTGTTATAGGTTTAAAATATTAACAATGAATATTTTGATAATATGTAGTAGAAAACACCAACTTTATCACTCAATAATCAACTTTGCAGCATAAAAATAACACATGTTGCAATTACAGCATATCAACCTATTTTCATTTCAATGCAAAATAAGTCTATAACGCATAGGTGGCTGTGAAAAATAAAAGCCATAACAATTGTTTTTATTAATCACAGCTGTCAGAATACTTTTAAAATAGTTTTGGATAGGTTTTCAAAATGGGTAGAGGAAAGGTTATTAGTGAGAAAATTCGGTTAATGATAATTACATTTTTTAATTCTGGGAAATCAAACTCAGAAATTGCAACTTTGTTAGACTTATCGCGGTACAGTGTGAGAAATATTGTTAGAGGATATAACGTAACTGGTTCAGTTAATATTAAGCCACGATATTTGAAAAAAAGTAATATCAAAAATGCCGACCGAAGAGCATTAAGAAGGATAATCGTGAAAAACAGGCTTGCCAATTATTTACAATTAAGTGCTCTGTGGAGTAACGCTGTTGGAAGGAGAGAGAGAGAGAGAGAGAGAGAGAGAATTTCGAGGTCCACAACTCATAGAGAGGCCCACAAACTGGGATTTAGCACTTGCAAGGTAAGTTTCCTTATAAAAAAAAGTGAAGTAAAAACCCTAAAGTTGCACAACTTATTTATAGGCCAAAGAAAAGCCACTATTAACTCCACTGCAAAAAAAAAATCGGCTTAGATGGGCTAAAGAACATAGACAATGGACACCTCAACAATGGTGTGCAATACAATGGAGTGATGAGGCCCGATTCGAAGTTTGTGTTGGTGACAGTCGCAGTAGAGTTATTCGCAAGGAAATGAAGCATTCCATGTTGACTGTCTGAAGAGAAAAGTGAAATTTGCAGCATCCATTATGGTCTGGGGCCATATGTCATCAAAATGAGTAGGAAAACTTCATTTTATTGATGGAAGTGTGGATACAAACAAATATTTGGCAATTTTAGAAGAATCGCTTTACCAGTGATGGAAGAATGTTTGACATCCGGCCAAGATTTTGTGTTTCAGCAAGATGGTGCAGCGTGTCATACCTCAAAAAAGGCTATAAAATGGATGGAAGAAAATAATGTACCACTTTTGAAATGGGTTTGTAGCAGTCCAGATCTGTCACCTATTGAAACTTTGTGGCACGAGATGAAAAAGGTTCTATGACAACATCCTGCTCGTACAATCACCGAACGGAGACAAAAGCTTCAAGAAATATGGGATTGTTTTACACAAAATTTTTGCCAAAACTTGGTTAACACTATGCTCCAAAGAATTTCAGCCGTAATAAAAAGTAAAGGTGATGTTACCCAATGGTAATCTTTCAATTGTTGCTTTGTTAACTTCGCGCATTTATTCGTCCATTGTTTATTTGTTCAGATGTTCTATTAGTTATAGGTCTAAGTGATTTCAAATATGTATTTTTTACGAGTAGAGTGTATCTAAAATGTTGTTGAGAAAATAAATTGTTTTAGAAGTAAATAGTTTCATCATGTTTAGTTTATAAACGCATATTTTGGTACAAATCATGAAGTGGGAAGGGGCTCGTAGATATCAAAGCAAAGAGTTTGATGATATAAACACAATAAGCTAAATCCAATATGATGGAGGCCACAATTTAGCCATTTAAAATTTCCGTGGTCACCCCTATAATATGGACATTAGATGAAAGGGGTTGAGAGAAACACAATAAGCTAAGTGTCGTCATTTCAAATCTAATATGTCGACCGCCGCAAGATGGCGCTTATAATTTCTAAAGTTATTCCTATGACTGAAAGGGTTTGATGAGTGAGATACAATAAGCAACGTCACGTCAGTTTTCATCCAATATAGCGGCTACCGCAAAATGTCGATTTATAAATTTCCATAGTCGCCCCCAAAAACAATGGATATCAGGTGAAAGCACAGCCGACGTCAACTAACAAACAGGTAACTCCACATTTCCAAGCTGGGCCTGTTGGAACACAGTGTGCTGACACCAAAAAACGTAAACTAAATACTTTTAATTAGGTTAACTGCATAACTCATATATATCACGATTATTTCGTATTTTTAAATTTTTTAGAGCTATTTCATATTCAGACGATTTGTATCGAATCGAACTGTCCGCTTTTCCAAAATTAAATTTAGTTCTTGAACGTTACACGGAGACGGAGCACACAGCCGCTGGCGGCCGACGTTCACAGGTAGCACTACCATGCCGTCCGAGCACGGTGTTGCCTTTCTTTCATCACGGCTGGTAGTTGACGTCGGCTGTGGTGAAAGAGATTGATCAAAGAAACACAATAAGGAATGTGACGTTATTCTAATCCAATATGGCGGATGTTTAATATGACAATTGACAATGCAATATTATTATGACAAGGAGATGATCTGATTATGAAGCCAGGAAGTGGCCATGGGAACCCATTGAATACAGCCTCATTTGATAAAAAATTACGGAAAGAACCAATGAAGCACTCACTCACCTATTTAACACATTAGTAGCCATATCATCTACTGATACTTTGAAGTCGACAAGGCTCAGTAGTAGTAATAATTTTTTTGAGTTTTTGATATTGGATTTGAATTTTATCTGTCACATATGATTGACCAATGTTAGCAGGTGCTAATGATTTGGACATGTATTGGAATGTTAACCAAAGTATGGAAGTATTATATTTTACTTCCTACCTTGCACAAAACTAAAGATAACTCGCTGCAGCGATGCCGCGCAGATGTGGAAAGGTACAACGTTGCCTCATGGTTGGTAACTACTAGTAGGGCAGGAAAAGAATGTCTATGGACTACTTGTATGGGCCTGTTTGACTAACTTGGTACATTTAATTTTTGTGTTGTACACATCTGTAACTTGTTTTTTTCTCAGACATTTGATTGCGCTGAACTTAATCCTTTACGAACTGATGACGGCGTTGCGTAGTGAATCAACTTGCCGTAATTTTTGTATTATGAAATAAACCCTCTAATAATAATTACCAATTTAATTTGATAGGAACATTTTATAATTTGTGCCATCATTCAGCTTGATAGAATGGCTCCTTCCTTCATCTATCTAGCTATTCGAGGCCCTCTTATCAGAATTGTCGTGGAAGTAACCTAAGTTTATCAGTGTGAGCTGATAAAACGATGGCTTAGTTTTCCTTGAAAATGTTATTTGGTATTATTTTGCAGAAGAGGACCTAAGGCTTACTTTGGAATAAAAATTCCTAATTTTCCTTGCAGCGAATTCTGAATCTGAAGACGACATAGTTAAACCCGACAAATCAACAGTGTCAGGTGATCGAAAGATGGCTGTATCGGTCATGGATCAACCAGGAGGCAGCAGCAGTGCTGGCAGTGGTTCGGAAGCTCCACGACAGAAACGAAAAGCCGATGATCAGCACAACAACAGAGCAGTTGAGCTGACCAAGCCCGTCAAAAAGAGCCGCCGACTCAGCAAGTTCCGCAGCAAGCGCAGCAAAGTTTAAGCTAGGAATGCTCGATGGTAAGTTGCTTCTCTGCTAGTTGGCTAGTGTGTTGCAATATTTGATGTGTCGTTTTATCATCGAATTCACTGAATGAAGGTAATTATTATAATAATAAACCTCTTTTATTGAGGGTCAAGTTTAGCTTGAACCTATTCTGCCACTTAACCCTTGAAAAGTACAGAAAAAATAAAATAATTATAAATATGTAAAAGTAATATACCTAAGTATAAAATAATGAAAATTTATTTATATGTACATACTATTATGAATTTACAATAAATAGGAAAGGCTGCGAAGTGAGGGGTCAAACTATTGTGGTGAATACTTTTTTAACATAAATTGTTTGTTTTGTTTTTTAAATACATTGTAATTTAGTCGTTTTAATGCCTAAGCTACTCTATTATAAAGCGTATGTGAAGCACTTATGAAAGAATGAGGTTTTGTGAAGAGGCATTGTGAGTGGCTCAGTAAACTTTATGTCTCTTGAGTGAAAAGAATTTCGAGGGATCATCTTGTTCTTTAGAAACAAAGGAATCGCAAGCAAGAGCTTATCAGCGTAACGAACTTTTCTTTGCAGGCTTGGGTCGTATATATAATATGGAAACGAGACGTATCGTGGAGAGGAGGTATAGTCGCGAGAGAGTGCAGAGGTTTGGCGTCACTAGGAGACGAATCACATCGCGACGTCAGCGAACGTTATCGTACACACTTTCTTCTAAAGTAGTCAGTGTCAGTAGCTGGATTACCACAATTTGAGGTAGTAGCGTGTAGTAGTGAGTTGTTTTCTCTCAAGTTGTTTCAGTCGGAAGTAAGTTAACTTAACAGAACTCCCATATATAATGTTTGTAGGTGTACATCTGTTTTATTTTTTTAGTTTGCACTCGATGCAGTATGAACAGTAATATGAGCTAGGTGAAGTTTTCTTAACATTTGTCAGCTGTTTCAGTAACTTTCATTTTTTCCTTAATTTCAAATGAGGGTTAATATCCGTTATCGTTTTTATGTTACAAGGTTTTAAAATATTTTTGGGTAATAGACTATAGTGGTTCATCTATCATTTAGTGCTTTGTCACGATGATTAAATGTAAGATAATTTTTTAGACTGCTTTGTGACATATACAAATACTAATATTTTATTTCTATCGGATCGATATGCTCATTGATTTAGTGGCATTGTTGTAATCACGGAGTCTCAGTAACGAATACCTTAGTTCTGATTAAATTTGGATTTGAGAACAGGGTGGCGAAGTTGAACAAAAAAATCAATATGGCGTGAAATGCCGTTTTTATGCGTTTTTGACCTTCCACTTCTTTATGCTCGTAATGATAAGTTTTTTATTGATAAAAATAAGTGTTTTTAGAAATCCCAAAGATTTTTATAGACCTTCTGGTTACAAAATTTTGTTCGACTAAGGACCAAATAAATAAAACTAATGTTCCAAAAGCTAGATATAGGGAAAAATCATGGGAAAGGAAATTAATTGATCAAATTTGACTTTATTTTCTGGCCTAGGGTTTTTCTCACGTAGAGTTGCCCTTGATTTGTTTTAAATACTGACTACAAATAAGTTTCACTTCTGTTTGTGTAGACAGAAAAACATTAATCGGGATCGTTCAATTTCCAGTTCTGACAATCCAAAAGACTTCACCTACTTTATGTTTCTATACCTTTTGTAGCAATCATGCATGGTTAGGCGAAGGGAAACAATATTACACATTCTTGACACTGGTCCTAGTGCATTCTCACTATTTCGACTTATATTATCTCATACTTTCACTGAGCCACAAATCGTATACCTGTTATCTCTTGTATATATCATTACACAAAATCTTGAATTGTTATATAGCTTTGTTTCCCTTCTTTGATACAGCATACATAAACAATAACAAAGATTTGTTACCAATCAAATTCATACAGGTCAAACAGAAAATCAAAATGTAGCAGCTGGCTTTTTCGTTTTTTAAACTGACAGCAAATATGTTGACAATGAGCTTCGCTCGTATTTTTATAATGCTGTTTACAATATTTTCCATCCAATAGGAGTTTTATGGCGGGACTTTCAGTAAAAATGAGCTCTCTGCAGTGTGATGTGTTACTATTACTATGATGGGCATGTAAACGTCTATGAATACATATAGTATCAGACAAACCAAAGAAAATAACATTTTCTTCCAAATCAAAGATATGTGCAGTGTTAATGCAGTCCATTCGGAACCAGAATAGAGTAGATGTGAACAGAATCAGGCGCTATGTACGTGATACTCGAATCATAAATCATTAGACAGGGTCAAACCTGCGTTTGTCGTGTCGTGTGGCTGGCGCAGTGGCAAAGGACCAAGAAACTGGTATCGAGTTCACCAGTTTCCGAAAACGAGTTTGTTTTGTTTGACTATTGATTAAAGTGTTCTACTTGAAGACAACCATATACTGTATTCCGGCGTCCAAAAATGGATATGAAACTAGCGCCATTTATAAGACAGTAGCAGAACCAGGCAATCAAAATCTTTTCAAAGTACATGTCTAGATGTATTTCGGTAATCTGCTAGTGTCTCGCATATGGCACTAGTTCTGTACCTTAACGAACAAAAAGCGTCCCAGCGCTCATCCGGCTTCGATGGATGGTCTAGTTCTGCCAAAGAGCCGTTCATTTCGGCTGGATGGAGCGCAGATCACCAAGAGCTTGATCTGGCACGAACACATCTCGTCAATAGCGGCAGCTGCTAGGAAAAAGCCAAGCTATTTATTTAGAGCTAAGAAGTACTTTTCACCACATGACCTCCTCACTAGATACAAGACCCAGGTAAGATCTGGCCTCGAGTATTGCTCACATGTTTGGGGTGCTGCCGCTCCGACTATATTGTCCATGCTCGATGCTGTTCAGAGCAGGGCTGTCCGACTGATCGATGACTCTCCTCTGTCAGACAGCGTTGGGACCCTTTCGCATGGGCGGGCCGTCGATGATCTAGTTATCTTCTACCGCTACATCTCAGAGCTCTTCTTTATGATGCCGTCACGCGATGTTCCTGCTAGACTGACCCGCCTAACTGCGGCCTCCCATCCTAACCGTGTTCGAACGTTCATCCAGAACTGGTCGATGAGACCGCTCCTTTGTCAGTAAGGTGTCCAGATAGTGGATCAATCTGCAAGAGGAGGCTTTCTACTAACCTTAGGTAGTTCAAAAATCGGATTAACAAAGTTTCTTTGGGATACTCATAGCAGCCGCGGTGCCCTAGCATTTAGGATTCTGCTTGTACGGCTGTTTCGGTGTAAAAAAAGTTTTTGAATTCACTTTTGAAAGCGTTAGTATCTTTCAGATCCGTTTTTGGATGCCAGTATATGGTTTATTATTTTCAGGTAGAATATGGTAATCAATGGTTTCACTCTATTTTGGATGGGGAAGGACTGCAGAATGACATGAAAATAAAAATGTGGTCTTAGTCCCATCTAGTATTACAAGGTCATTGTTGAGAGTTCAATAATTAACAGTTAACACTTTTAAGTGACTTACTTCTTTAACCTCTCATACATAATGTCGTGTTGTGTTTGAATAAGAAATGGTGAAGTCGAAGAGACCTTGAAGTATTTGTGAAACGACAAAACGGATGTTTCTATTCTGCAACTTTGTAATCATAGCTTTACTTCTCATGCACTGCATAAAAATTCAAAAATCGCCTCCACTATGGTGAAGTTGATGGAAAGATATGTCGAGGTAGAAAGTACAATAACTATTACTCAGCTTTAAAAACATGGTGGTATTCCATTAGCTTCATAATGACTATTTTAATGTTATTACATCAGCTTTATTTTCTAAAAAACGAGTGCAATATTTAAAGAACATGTATCTATTTGTCCAAGTTCCAATATTTTGCAGTACTAGTCAGAGAGACGTAATAAAAATTATTTGAGATATTTAAAGCACGCACCAAGTATCCGTGGCAGGACGACAAAAATATCACAGCATTTGATCCGTTATTAAGAAAGTAAACGAAAAAACACCAGGAATAAAATGACATTTTTCCTGTAATTCGGAGAGCAGTGTCTAATATGTAGCAGAATTACACACAAGATAAAGTGGGTTTTTTGTGGTTGCAAAGGAAACCACTTACTATTTTTCAAAAAGCAATGTCCCTGTGATCAAACTGATACCTTATAGTGTCTAGTGTGAACAGGAAATTGTAATTTTAAAACTGAAAAGTTATCAATACGTTCTGGAAAAAGCTTTTATGGAAATTGGTATTATTACAGCTGTAAAAATTAGAACTGTTTTGAATCCGAAGGATGAAAAATATATATTGCCAACAAAAAATGCGTGTGTAAGTTTCTTTCTGAGAAATGGTAGTAGAATATGTACCTATGACTTTCCAAACGTATTGGCCATTGTGAGCCAATGGTTGTTGAGCGTACGTTATTGAACCGCACCTTACCCATATCAGATGTTACAGGTATATTCAATATTTATTAACGAAAAAACTCAGGTCTCTCGAATTACCTCTCTAAGTTAGAAAGAATCTTTCGGATTTGAAGAAATTTGTTTTAATTTTTTTGCCAATACTTCAACGCATGATATAAATCTCCAGGGATCTTTACACCAGTTCCGTGAGATTCTTATGTTGTCCAACAGGTAGCCGCATCTAATATGAGTCAACTGTAATCTTGTGGCAATATTGATTAATTACATGGACCTCTAAAAGCTATGTTCGATTTTTCATCCCAACATGCTAGTCAAACTTTGGCAGATTGAAGCTATGGAATACCGCCGGATATCACAATCCCTATCTATTTGTATATTAGCGATTGTTCATTGTTATTCCAAAATAAGTTCATCGTCGATAGTTTTTAAGGGATGTAACAGTAATCGATATTTTGTATAGAATGTATCATAGATTTCGACGTTATCTAATAATCGATGACTTGAGCTGCATTTTTGGGAGGTGTGTTCTATACAGGGTGTTACAGAATGTTGTCGGGTACATTGAAGAGCAGTTCCAGCACGTTGAAATGTGAAAAAAAGCTTATGTTAATATAGGTTGACATGTGTCTTTTTCAAATATTTGGTACATGCAAATATATTAATGGATCTCACAATAACATGTAAAAAATGTTTTCCAAATCACAAACATCAGTTGCGTAATTGAGCTAATTCTTGATTAAATGCACCAATAAATACATTTCAAAATGCCGTTTAATCTGTATGGTGGGGTACATTTTTGACAAAGTTTGAATACCGACGTTTCAAATTTTCCTGACAACAGTCAGTACCATGAGCTAATTTTTTTTGTAACCTTATACAGGAAACAGTAGAATATGGTTCATACTGAATCATGTAAAATGAGGCTCAATTCATAGATCACCAGATAAGCACCAATTTCAAAGTACCTATCTACATATTGTATATTTTTTGTGAAGGTAATTTTTATGGCATAGTTTTATTTAAGCTTTTTAGTTTGTTTAGTTTGGGGTTGGTATCACAATTTAATTTTCCTCAAGAATGCACTATGAATATATGTTCACTGTAGAAATAAGCGTGGCTATGAATTATTTTCATTAATTAATAATCTCTCAAGGGAAACTTCAGGCACAATCTCTAATTACTAGAATTTTTTATATTAGTACTGTTATAAATTAATAAAAAAATTATGTTTTCTCATTATTCTTCCATTAAATTTTAGAAATATTATCTGCACTGTTAAGTATTCATATACTCATTTGATTCATAATTTTTAAGGACTCTAGACTTTCAATAATTTTTCAACTTATGTTGAATCTACTCGTTTGTATCTTCAAACTCATATGCAGTACATATTTGATGAATCAGTTTTGATGTTTGCAAATATCTTATTGAAATAAAAGATAGTTGTTCTTATAAATATGCACATAAAGTATGACGTAATTATGAGCTGAAGAGATTACAGGAATTTATGAGAAATTATGTTATACCAGTATCGAATTTATAATAGCAACAATCAAACTTAAGCATAAGACATGCAACAATTTGTCAAAACGGTCATCAAACAATAATGAAAACCTGTAGATTTTCTGTGCAGCTGATGCAAATTCAGTAGTCAAAACACTATGAATACTGGGTCGAACACCCTAAGATTACAAGCAAGATTGAGAATTCTTAGACCACACCCTCGATATCTGACAGGTGGTGTCACCTTAGTCGATGTTAGTAGTTTATCCCAGTAGGGTCATTGGACTTGTTGAAACTGATGACAGAGCACATATACCCTATTTCACGAGTATCCATCACAATTTGACGTCTACTGAGGTGAACAGCTGATCATCAAGTGACATATTTGTTAGTCTGCAACGTTGGCAATAATGAATCGAGTATAAAATTCGTAAAACTTGTTTGTGGCGTATTGTTTTTTGTATGCAAATGAACTATTCTAAATGAAAGAACTGTTCGCAAGTACGAAATGAATCTGTAGCGTACAAAAGACCAAAACAAAATACGGCTCAGTCTACCCGGCGTTGACGGATCCTTCAGAATTATGTGTCCTGTGCCGATATCGGGAATTTTGAGATATTACTAGATAATCAACTGGCATTCAACTGTCATGGATACTCTTGAAATAGGGTATACTGCGTGCGACGATTGATTGTACTGAGATTACTGACCATCCAAATGTTCGTTTCATAACAAGTTACTGTTGTGTAAATCAGTAGGTACCTCACTGCACCTTATTGCAAATGCATTAAAAATAGTGTGCGGTTCTGTAAAATTGACTGAAAATTTTGAAACGCATCAACACTGATTCACCGGTTACTTTCTTTCTGTAAGACAAGACTATTTCTACTGGAATACCAATGAATAGGTCTCTAAGTGTCCATATTTTTGTAGGCAACACGAATGCGCTGTGTATAGACACATATTTTTGTTTGATACTAAATGTTTTTGTTATATGCAATTATCTTCATGCAGTATCTCCAACAAGCCTCATATTCCTGTTTAGTTGGTAGTATCACAATAGCTAGTCAATATAGTCAAATAGGATATTTGGCACTTTTGAACAGTGTCAGGTATAACATTCTACATTCATGTATAATTATAGGTTTGTGGAAAACATATTAGATATTAAAAAGGAGCGCTTATAGTAGTGCTGTAATTATGTTTCCAATTTGAGTTTTATTGCTTGGATCATCTTTGTCTAAAATATCATAATATTTTTCATTTTGAAAATACTGTAGTTGGATTTATATAAAAAGTTTGAACAGATTTAGTCCCCAAAATTACACTGAAGTATCGCAGGCCGACATTTCTTGTAATAGGTTGCTATGATCAGCAGTTGTTTGAGATCTATGCCTCAGTGTTAAAATTTGCCTTCAATATCCTTTTTGACAGATTCCCACCCCAGCCAGTGTGCAAAAAATATTACATACACTAACCATACTTATGGTATAAGGTCAATTTTGTTGATGATACTGTTTTAGCTTATTGAAGCAAATTGAGTACCTAATTTAGATTTAACCGTGATTCTGTCATCTTAACTATTTTTAGGGTATAGTGAATTTATAGTTTATTTGAAGTATATAATTTGGATACTTTCATTAATTTAATTATAATTACGACTACGTTTAAAATATTTTTTCACCCTCAATTACAGTTAGTGTGAACAAGATGGATAGTTGAATATTTAATAGCTATTAATAATCTATAGATACTGTGGAAACTCGTGAGTCCATATTAACATTATTTTTTCAATAAAAAACAAAAATTAACAAATAGCTGTAATTTTTCTCATACAAGTCACAAAATTAAAGTTGCCCCCCGTTCTTACGAACAACACCAAAACATTTAAAGGATATATACATATAGGATTTTTATAAATATTTTGTGAGAAAAATTACTACAATTATTTTAATTCGAATTTAAGACCAAGTGTCCTTTTGTTTATTTTTAATAGTAGGAGTGAGAATGAAATAAATTTTAAAAGAATGGCTGTTCTTAATTCTGTTCCCATGATTTTTTTTCGGCCCAGGAGACCCAGTTTGCTAATGTAACACCTAAAACTTATCCTGTGGTTTCATGTTGACAAATAAGACTCAATGATTGTCTAGCCAAACGAATCAACTACTTTTGAAAATCAGAATATAGAATCTGGAGGTCGACACGTATCTTCTATTACGGCTGGTGGCTGCTATTTGACATTATGACTTTACGTCCTAGTGACCTCTGAGGTTATGGTCTAAGTTATATTTGAAGTCATCGACAAATAGCTTCTAAGATATCATAAAACTGCTCTTAGCACCTTTTTGTCCAACTAAATACGTGGTCGCCAAGTTTTTGGGGGGTGTTCACGTAGTTTTCAGATGTTACAGTAGGTTATACTGGTTGAACCACTTACGACCGCTTGATCCCATGTATGGTCTGATGTAGGGTCTCGAGCTCCACACGAATCTGCTGTCAAAAATGATGGTTTTTATTGCGTATACAAACTGCCAGTTGACCTCAGAGGTCACTGTCTAGGTCTTATTTAAGATCATTAACAAATTGATGTGTGATATTCTGAAACTTTTAGCAGAACCCTCTTCCAAAACAAAGTCTTTACTTAAAATCAACCTGCACCAGTGGCGGAGATACAGAGGATCAGTGACATTATTTTTCCGCATAAAAATAGTACGGAACTGTTTTTTCGAATTTGCATCAAATAATTATTTTTGTGATTTTTTCCTAGTGTTTTCGAAAAAAAAACAACAAATTATAAAATCGAAGCTTTATTTCAATACATGTTCAAAAACACCACCATTCTGTCGGATACAAGTGCGGCATCTTTTTAACAAAGAAAAACGGATTTCCGCAAAATATGTTGTGGGTTGAATTTGATGAAACGCATTATCTTTTCTTTCTTGTAACTGATCAACAGTATTAATTCGTTCAGCATACACTAGTTGTTAAAAACGCATCACAAAAAGAAATCCAGCGGGTTCAAATCAGGAGGCCTCGCAGGACAATGTACGGGTTTGTTTCTGCCAATCTATCGTTGTCTAAAATGATTATTTAACCTTGCGGTTATGTCACAACAAACATGCGGTGGGGCACCGTCGTGTTGATACAACACTCGTACTGTCGGTGCTAACGGAACATCAACTTAAAATTGTGCACAAGTATGAATGAATGAATTCTTGTAACTGATAAACGGTATTAATTTGTTCAGCATACACTAGTTTAAAAGTGCCCTACAAAAAGAAATCCAAGGGGCTTAAATCAGGAGTCATCGCAGGCCAATGTAACGAGCATGCGGTGGGGCACCATTCGTACTCTCGTTGCTAACAGAACATCATCTAACACATTTTCTATGTAATTCTCTAGAAAAGCTAAGTATGAGTTTGCACTTAAACATTGTGGCAATACGTGCATAAACAGTTGGCCAATGAAAATGCCGCACCACACATTTCTGTGTTGTAACGAGTTGATTCTTACAGAATGGGAATTTTGTAACGACCAAATATACTAAGTGACATATAAATCCGAACACCCAGTTTAAATGGTTTCATTTTAATAAAAGTTGGTGAATGTATTTATCTTACTGTAAATAACAAGTGAAAAAATTTTCAGCCTTATCAGTTGGACATTCCGGTTTTTATACTGCTTTTTTTTTCATTCACTAACGCTCTAAAAATGAATATTTCAGCCGCAGTAATGAATCAACGTTGGCGGATTTTGGTTCTTGACATCCTTTACGATCGGTTACGATGCCTAGAGTACGGAGACCTGTACGATTTCGTCAACTTAGTGAGTTTGATAGGGGCCGTATAGTGGGACTTCGGGGAGCTGGACTTTCTTTTCGGGCAATTGCAGTTAGAGTGCAAAGAAGTGTAGACACTGTGGTTAGGTGTTGTCAGGCATGGCTTCGAGAAGGCCGTACGCAAAGAGCAAGGGGCACTGGACGCCGCCGTAGAACAACAGACCGTGAAGATCGCCGCCTAAGATTATTGGCCTTAAGGGACCGTTTCTCCACTACCAGGTCCATTGCAAATGAATGGTTTGCAGAACACGGAAGACTTATTGGCATGCGAAGTGTTTACCGACGAATGAGAAGTTTTCTCTTGTTTTCATACCGGCCACACTTGGTCCTCCCTTTAACTCGAGAACACCGACGTAATCGCCTTGAGTGGTGCAGACAACGGTCACTCTGGGATCAGGAATGGAACAGTATTGTGTTTAGTGACGAGTCTCGATTTTGTTTAGGCATGCACGATGGTCGTGCCAGGGTTAGAAGGCGACGTGGTGGAATCCACAGTTTTTTGTTGAAAGACATGTTCATCACACTGTTGGAGTTATGGTTTGGGGTGCTATAGCTTATGGTTCCAGGTCACCTTTAATCTTCATCAGAGGTAACATGAACGCGCAGCGTTATATCCACGAAGTTCTAGAACCCCATCTTTTACCCTATCTTGCCACCTTGGCAGATCCAACTTTCCAACAAGATAATGCCCGACCACATGTTGCAAGAGTCACAATAGACTTCTTTCAACATAATGATGTCACATTGTTACCATAGCCACCAAGATCTCCCGACTTATCCCCAATTGAGCACGTGTGGGATATGATGGGTAGGAGATTGCTCAATTTGCAACGTCCTCCTCAGACTCTAGAAGCACTTCGAGAGGAGTTGATGGTTGCCTGGAATGAGATACCACAGGAGGACATTGACCACCTAATCAGAATGCATGCCTCGGCGCGTTGGAGAATGCGTAGCATATCAGGGTGCATCCACACATTATTAAAGGTCAAAGGGCTTTAAAGCAGTGCAATCATTTTGAATTTTTTATCATTTACTTATTATGCTTCATTAAGTACTTATACAAAATTTTATTAAAATTAAATCTTGACACCCTGTCAGATCCAACTTTCCAACAACACATGTTGCAAGAGTCACAATAGACTTCTTTCAACATAATGATGTCACATTGTTACCATGGCCACCAAGATCTCCCGACTTATCCCCAATTAAGCACGTGTGGGATATAATGGGTAGGAGATTGCTCAATTTGCAACGTCCTCCTCAGACTCTAGAAGCACTTCGAGAGGAGTTGGTGGTTGCCTGGAATGAGATACCACAGGAGGACATTGACCACCTGATCAGAAGCATGCCTAGGCGCGTTGGAGAATGCGTAGCATATCAGGGTGCATCCACACATTATTAAAGGTCAAAGGGCTTTAAAGCAGTGCAATCATTTTGAAATTTTTATCATTTACTTATTATGCTTCACTAAGTACTTATACAAAATTTTATTAAAATAAAACCATTTAAACTGGGTGTTCGGATTTATATGTCACTTAGTATATGTTCATTATTATAATTAAAGGTTCCACTCCTCGTAAAAAGCGATTCATCTGACCACAAAACCAAATCAATAAAATCTGCATTTTGATTATGCATTTGCAGTAACCACTCACAAAACCACACCGATGGTAAGGGTAAAACTTCCCGATTTAAAATTCTCCACGCAAGACTTTGGGAACATGGTAACTGAGCTGCAATCCGGCTAGCACTCGTACTAGGATCACCCAACGCCAAATTAATCACTTCCAGTTCCTCTTGAACAGTATGCCGGACACCATGGCCTCTAACACCGGGAAGTTTGGTAATTCCATGTTGCCGAAGTCTTAGAAATGAACGCGTAAAAACCTTTTGGGTAGGTTGGCGTCTGTTAGGAAATCTAAGTTGATACTCTCGAGAAGCCATCCATTACAGAACCCGTACACAAAAAATATAGGCGTACTCATCATTGCTAAATTCCATTTCACAACACTCAAAAATGGAAAAAAGGAACTTTTGGCTTTACTTTTACAAAAAAAAAAAAATTATAGTAACGATAAAAACACATAACTTTGACAAACTATCTCCCAAGAAACGACAAGTTGGTATCAAGGCCTCCTATTTTATTTTGAAACTAATTTTACCTCTGCTCTTCATGGATTTATTTTATTTTTACGAAAACAGTGCATTCAAGGAAAAAGTGTAATTATTTGTAGCAAATTGAAGATAAAATTCGAAAAATCGTGCGTTTCAAAAAAACATTGGCGTACTATTTTTATTTGGAAAAATAATGCCACTAATCCCCTGTATCTCTGACACTGGTGCCCGTTAATTCTGAGTAGACTTGAGTGTGGACAATACTTAGGTAAATCCACATACCAAATTTGAGTTCATTTCAGTTGACGGTTTTGAAGTTTTTATTTTTAAACTTCAACACCCCGTATCTTTTTAATGAAGCCCTCTAGGAAAAAATGTTGCATGGAATATCCCCTTTAAAATGCGGTCCTGTGTATGATGTTTCATTATTGGTCACGAAAAGGGTCTGGAGTGTAGGAAAATTTACGAAAAAGGTGAAAGGAAGATTAAGAAGGAAGTGGAATGCATTTGGACTGGAAAGCGGTAGAAGCATTAGCTACAGACAACAAAATGGAGAAAGACAACTGAAAAAGCATAGAAAGATAACAACCTCTACACTGGAGAGATACGGTTTAAGTATAATTCCTATTGGTACCCCAGCTGTGAACTACTGGTGGTAGCTCATTGTATAGGAATTTGTAAGACCTCTCATTTATATTGTGACGATAAATAGTACTGTTGGCGTCATCTTTTGGGAAAGTCTCCTACTCACCAGAGCTTGATGGCCGATCTCTGCTTTTACGCGGACCACGACCGCATAAGCCGCTTGGCGGCGTCTGTGAGGATCGTGGCAGTGACCCGCCTTATAGATCGACGTGAAGTAACCTCGACTATTCTGGAAGGCCGCTATGTGGCTCCCGATTCGACTCGACTCAATGATGCGGTCTATATAATTCGGCGGCCGGGAGATGAAAGCGGCGGATGAGCGGTACCGCGGGGTAGTGCGGATTGCTTTGCGGAGGGCGTCGCGGAACGTTGGTTGGTTATTGTTATGAAATTGTCCGCGGTAGGAATTGTAGCCATTTGGGCTTTGTCCAAATTACTACTCCAGAGAAGAAGCACCAATGGAACTTTCGTAATATTGTACAGAGAGTTAAGAAACTTCTAAGATACATTTTTCAACTATACAAGAATGTCAACGGTATCTTTTGATGAATTACTGAACAAAATTAGAAGGAAAATAACTGGAGTAACTACGAACATGCGACCATGTATATGTCCTGAAGAAAAGCTTCTAGTTACATTAAGGTAAGTTGCACAGGGAGACCAATATATTATCGTATTATAACCTGGAATTAATTCGGTAAATCAAAAGTTACAATTTAATCATTAAACACATACTCATCAATCCAAATTCTAATCTCAATTTTTCTCAACTTTCTTACATCATCAAAAAAGCGCAAATTAAAATACTACTCGACGACGACGTGTCCGAGCATACTTTTAAGAAAAACTGTGTCATATCATAACCGATTTTGTGTAGGAAATAACTCATAATAATTAGTTATGTGAGAATGCTCTGAACTTGTAGAATTAGATTCAGGAGAAGTTACGTTTGTCGCAATGTCGTACTGATCTGTAGAATTTCTGTCAAAACTGCACGAAGGAGTATTTGCTGAATAGGCGTTGTGTGAATAGTTGTGGCGTTGTGGTGGAGGCATTTGATAATTGTAGTGCTGGTCTGTAGCTTCCATGATCACTTTCATTATATTTATTTTAGTTGCTGCTTTCAAACGTTCGGGTACGCGTTTAAAATCGTTTAGCAATGATAGTAGAAAGTGGCGGTCTGGGTCATCGTCATTACTAGATATATTTTGTTTTAAAACGCTTATAAGCTCTGCACCTAAGTTTTCACCTTCTTCTGTGTCATTAGCCTTTTTCTTCTTCCGCCTGGGAGTACTTTGTATTGTAGTCTCATTTGGTCCTATCTCCTCAGTATGGTCTACTTCGTTTACTTCAGTATCATGTCTTTCTTCAGTGAAATTGTTATCTCTAGTATTTACAGCAACAACGTCTTTCAGAAACATAAGGTGGTTGAAGTAGATGTACGTGGATTTTTTGGTAGCACCCGACCCACTTTTTGTGCTGACCTTCTTAAATTCTTTTACGAAAGCGTCCCGAAGATTTTTCCACTTTTTCTGCAGTGAAATACCTGTAATAAAAATAATTTTCTTTTATAGATACCTCGCTTCGGGATGCTCATTTGCTGACCTACACTACAGCTATCGACTGGGAAGAACTACAATCAGTGAAATTGTTAATGAAGTTTATGAAGCAATTTGGATCAATCTAAAAACAGAATGCCTTCCGACACCCACAACTGAATCTTGGTTATATATAGCCAAAGGCTTTGAGTCAAGATCAAATTTTCCCCACATTATAGGAGCAATAGATGGTAAACATATTCGGGTAATAAAACCAGTTAACACTGGAACGCTCTACTATAACTACAAGCACTTTGTTTCTATAGTTTTACTAGCAGTATGTGACCATAATTATAAATTTACATATGTTGATATGGTAAATGCAGTGATTCCTCAGTGTTTAAAGATTCTGATTTTTACAAAAACCTAATGAACGGAATAGTAATATACTCGAGGTCGCAGTAATGGAAGGCATTGAAGGTAAAATGCCTTATTTCTTGGTTGGCGATGAAGCATTCAGTCTATCAAATCATGTTTTACGTCCTTTCGCAGGAAACAATTTAACTCGAAATAATGGGATTTTTAACTATCGCTTATGCAGAGCTCGTAGATACATTGAATGTACTTTTGGAATTTTAGCCAATAAATGGAGGATATTCCATCGGCCCCTAAATGTCAACATTAAATTGGCACTAAATATTATCAAAGCTTGTTGTATACTTCATAATTTTATACGTGCAAGACATGGAGTAAATTTCGAGCACACTTTACATCCCGAAAGGGAAGGCTTGGAAGATATTCCAAGGGGGTTCAACGAGCAAACCGATCAGTTATTAACAACAGAAATTTATTGGCGGATTATTTTCTAAACGTCAATACTTTGCCATGGCAAGACAGATTCGCCTAACTAGTTATAAGCAATATTTTTTCGCCAGTAAAATTTATTAAATGTGTAATAATACCAAATACCAACAAGTAGGTTATTATAATGTAGGATATAGCTATGTAATAATATTGTGTATAAACAATAAAAAAAATGTTCAAGTACTTACCTAGGTTTTTCTTCTCATCTGTTGTCATTTCTTTTCCTCCAAAGATGTCGACTATTTCTTCCCAGATTTTGATTTTTAATATGCGATCACTATACTCTTTAGATTTCATGTTCCACAATGGTGGGCGGTGTTCAATTTCATAAATATATTTTTCAGTATCAAACTCCATTTTTTTTATAATCTCACACACCACAAAGTCAAATAAATAATTTCGCCGACAATATTCTATCGCTAAAAACCGCGAGGACTTGCGTCGTGCGTGGTCTCTCTATCAAGTCTGAACAAGTGGAGAACCGCGGGCCCGCGCGATCTCCGTGTTCGCCGCGTCCGATGCCGGCGTCCGCCCATTCGCGCGGTTGCCAGTGCGTTGTCTGCCACAATATCCTATATAAATAAACATCCGCGCGACCGCCATCCGCCGCGGTTTGCGGCTCGTGCGTTATTGTCCTTAGTCAGACATAAATAGTGGTGTACATAAATGTTCTATCAAGTCAAGTTAAATAAATTAGTGCATTTCTTTTTGTGGAATCCAGTGCAACCCCGAAAAACGCTACAATATCTTCTGCTTTTCATAAGTCTGTGTACTCATCAGACAGTTGATATATTAATATAGCTTTATTATTCGATATAAATAGATAATATTCACTGATTTGCATAATAAAATAATTTCTCAAAAACACAATGAATACAGTAACATAAAACAAACAATTTGGCTCTAGGTACTTTCAACAACTAAATTACTATTACATTTTGGACATATTATTGATTGCTCTACAAAAATAGCTTTGATTGTTTTCACTGAAAAGGTTTCTGAACATTTCATGCATTGATACGTCTTCTTTTCATCATGCTTTTGTTCACTCAACTTTTGCATCACAGTATCATAAAAATTATTAAAATCTGCTTCCTCTAATTCATAGGTGCGCTGTCTTCTGTCTCTCCTCAACGTATCAAACTCTATTTTAACCACATTTTCTGTACCATCAGGTTTTGTACATGTTACTATTGTGTTAACATGCCATCTAGCTTTTTCTTTGCTTGTTGTCACATCTCTTTCAGATATGTGACTTTCTGTGAGGACTACAAAAACTTGATGTGATTCCTCCGTATTTGTAGCAAGGAAGATGCCTTCTTCACCACCTGGAATTAATAAATTACCTAAATAATAGTACTGCTCTAAAATTGCGAGTCTTCCACTTTTGTCTGCTTGAAAACCCAATTTGCTGCAAAATGATATTTCAATGAAATCAAAGATTTTTCAAAGAGAAAAAGTGGTAAGAATAAAAGTAATCACTCACTCAATTCTACTATAAAAATCGAATTTTGACATACAATCTCGGAGTTGTACTAATATTTGTTAACAAGGCACAAACAAATGTATTTTTTGGCCAAAAAAAACTCATAACATTGTTTTTTAGTCATTTCTATACACACCATGAAATCATAAAATGAAAAGGATTTAGGGTGCGACTGGTCTGCAGTAGCCCACCAGTTGAAGAAAGATGTCATTGTGACACTTCAGCTATCTTTTCGGTCGTGTCTCAAAAAATGATAAAATAGGACAAAATTACCCCTCCATCGCGTATAGTGATTTTTAAAGTTATCCAGTTGGAGCAGCAGTTCATACAAGAAGCATGACAAGCAAGTTGATAGTGTACGAGTGATCATCAGACTCAAGAAATAAGTTTGCATACAATGTGTTATCTTCCACAGATCTTTCATTGTACCTGATTGATACAGCCAGATTTTATTTATGATATACATTACTTATACGATTTCTCATTTCATCAGAGCTTTTAGGCACCAAAAGCAACGCAATCCGAAATCAAAATCAAGTTGAAAATGGGGTTGGTTTTGGTGAGCACTGGTAATACCGCGTGGATTAAAACTAACAAGTGAAGTTATTTGGTAGACAACCGTCATTGTAGATCGTATCTGAATAAGGGATCGTCTTACCTGAGAATACATCTTCACCATCAGATGCATCTGAGACAGGATCTTCGAGATTCGATGGTTCTACAACAGCTTCAAGTGACTCTTCTGGTACCTCACTATTTACGTTATTTGTTTGCGATTCTTTTGCTTCAGTATTGATTGGTGATTCTTCCATAGCAGTTTTGAAAGCATCTTTAGAAGCACCATTTATTGTGGAATTAGGTGTTTCATAATTGCTGATATCCCCTACTGGATCAGTATTTATTGAGCCTTGACCAGTTCCATCTGATGGTGTTGAAGAGAGAAGGATGGACGATTTTTCAAAGCCCAATACATCTTGTACCATTAGGCCTGAATCACTATATAGCCATTTCTCTCCATATTCCTCCTTTAACTGTTCTACTTGTCGTTTAATCTCCAAATGCTGGGCACTTAGTGGTGGAGTAGATTTTGGTGTAACCTGAAAACCGAGTTATAGTGAAGATTGCTTTCCTTCATCTAATTCACCGTATTAGACGCCATTCCTTCCAAATTAGGGGTTATCAGCATTGTGTAGGATGGACGACGAACGAAAGCAGAGTACAGAAGTAGATGGCGAACAAGTGTTAGTTGCTTCCAAAATCTGTCACTAAGTTAGCGTGAAAACAAGCTACACAGGAGAACTGTTATCAACAGTCAAGCTCTGTTTAACAAGAGTTCTCCAATCTCCGAAAACACGAGTAGTGCAACTACCAACCTTTTTAACAACATGCTCCTCTCGAATCTTTACATTTCTAACTTTTCGCGCCTGTGTTGATGATGTAGTAGAGGTCTCCATTTCATTGTCTTCATGTGGTTGAGGCGTTTGCGACTTCACTACTGGATACAGGGATCCCACAAGGCACTGCTCAGTCTTATCTAGAAACATTTTTTGATAGATCACACAAAAGTTCGTATAAAATAATTTAAGGATAAGTTTAGACAAAACCGTAAATACCACGACTGCTTGTTGATACATTTTTGAATTGCCCAAGGTTAGTAGAACTGTATTTGGATTGTCTCACAAAGAACAAAAGAGTGGAGGTACCCTCAATGAATTCGACAGAGTTTGAATCAGAACAAGAAGCCTGGCGAGTTCTTCTAGCAGGCCTGACGAGAAATGTATCTATAAAATATATTTTTGATCCTTTTCTGTACTTTGATGACACAACAGTACTTTTTGTCTTAGTACAGTATGTTACAAGTAATTACGAGCCCAAACAACTAAATATTCGGACACCTTTATATTTCGTTCAAATTGTCCTATAAAATAACGGAACAAGATTGTAAACTTGCACAGAAAACTTTTATTGGTAGTATATACAAATTGTGTCATATTTTCACTAGTATCATCTGCTTTGCTTGATAATCAATTATAATGAAAAAAAACTAAACTTTACAAAAATATATGGCAACTAAATATTCGGACACTACAAAATTTAACCTAAGTAATAATTTGTTACGTCGCCTTTCGCCTTAATTACAACCTGAATTCTTGCCGGCATGGTCTTAACTAATGCTTGGCAGTTTTCCTGTGTAAATGTGTTCCAAATTTCTTGCAGTTTCACACGCAGTTCAGGAATTGCTCTCTGAGGATGGTTTCTCAAATGTTTCATTTTATGCCAGACCGCCTCTATCACATTTAAATATCTATACTATGTTAGGTAATAATGTATTCTCAAGAATTTCTTGGTATTTAGCTGCATTCACTGTGCCATCTATAAAATGAAGACGTCCCATTCCAGTAGCAGACATACAGCCCCACACCATAATATTTTTGGGAAATTTTACTAGTCATTTAATGCTGTCTTTGTGAAAGGTTTCAGTTTCAGGTTTTGGAGATCGCCTACGCATACATTGAATTTGGCTTCATAACTAAATATGACCTTGCTGCAGTGTTCGTACGTCCAAGAGCCCTTTGATTTTGCCCAAATTAAGCATCTTTGATTTTTGGACATAAGTTAGAAGCGGTTTTCCTTTACCCTAATTAAGGAAAAACATTTTTTCATGGTTTGGAATAATAATTTAAACATTTGAATCCAGATTTACGAATGTATTTTCGACAGCATTCTCGTGAAAGCTGGATCCCACACTTTGTGTTCCACTGAGTGGTAATTTCCCTTAAGGTGTTTCGATTACCCGATTTGCAGATTTTGATGAAGCCCTTTGATTCTGTGCAGTTATAATCCTCGGTCGACCTGGGCTTTTACCGCGGACATCAGTGCTTGCAGTTTCCCTATACTTTTTTACAATGTCCGGAACTGTAGATTTAGGGATAACAAGATGACTTGATATCTCACGTATTGACTTTTTGCAAAACTGCTGAATAATAATTTGCCTCACTTTCTAATTAGTGGCTACACCTCGTACCATTTTTGCATAAATGTAACTTAGTAACAAGAAAATATAATTTTCAAATACCTACAATTTCCAACGATGTTGACATTCAGTATTATGACACAGGTAGCTCATATGTTTTTGAAAGCCTGTTAGTTTCTGCTTATTTCTGTTTCTTGACTTGTCCGAACATTTAGTTGTCATCATATTTCGAGGTAATTTAGTGATCCTGTTTGTTTTGAAGTACAGTAACACATTTGAAAACAGGGGTGCCGCTATTGAAAATAGATGTTTATTATACTTATCTACCATTATACATTTTTGACATACATTTTGAAACAGCAGCAGTTCTGGATTCATTTGTATAAAATGTGATCAACTAGAGAAACGGGAGAATATTTCACAAATCACAACACAAAAATACCTTCCAACATTTATTCTCATACTTACTCAAGGCCACTCCATCTAACAAAAACCTCACGGTTGCTGTGTTTTTGTGTAAGTAGTTACATGTTAATGTCCTATGATATGGATGATATGCCAAAGGATTGCCTTTGAGATAAAGACATTGCAGTGAGATCAGATGGGAAATTGAGAGCAGGCAATTGTGATCAACCAATAGATTGTTTGACAGGTCTAAATGGATTAAGTTATTGACTGCTGTCAGAGGTGTAAGATCTTCAATGTAGTTGTTGTTCAGTATAAGGACCTAGAATAAATAATGCAACATTATTTGTTTATAATACACTGATATACATACAAGCCATTTAGTGTTAAGTCATTTTACTATATTATAAGCTGCCATGACCTTCAGTGGTACAATCTGCTAATACTAAAAAGACAATCAATAGCCTTCTAAGTAAATCTTGAGGCAGGTATTGTTAAAAGGCTCATTATGCAATCATATCAAATGATATGAATTTGATTGAAATGTCAGTAAGTTACATAACAGAAGTCATAGAAACCAACAGAGGTAATGGTAATAAAATATTGGTTTTATGAAATAGCCACATTTAAATAAAAATGATAATTACAACAGCAACAAAAATCCAGAGTCACTGAGAGAAAACCTAACAAATCACGTCTAAATATCTCAGTATAATCCTTCCCATGAATTCTTTTAATCATAATGTGTTCTTTGATTTTGCATCTATTGTATGTAAAAAATGAATTTTTCCCTGTGTTGATTCACTACATAAATTGGGAAAATTGTTCTCAATTTTCAAAGTTACAGTATTCATCTAAGTTTTTGTTTATGAGATACATAATTTGTAAGTTTAATCAAAACACATTTATAATATATAATCTCCCATGTTGGTCTGAAATGTTACTACATTAAAGAAGAATTTCAAATATATGTCAGTGAGGCCACACAAACATGGGAGATTATTGACATTTTAAGTTCAACAACTTTTGAAATAATCAAAATGATAAAATATGCCAAAACAATATAAAAGCAAATGCACCGAGTACTACTTTTGTCAAAAACCGGGTACTTGATCAAATTCGAATATAGAGTACCAGATACTCGATGGAGGGATCTGCTCTAGGATATTTCATCTACTGTTATTTAGGAACAATTGTTTTTGATATACTTTTTTCTCCCTTCTATTAGATAGTTTACATCAACAGACAAATCGATACATAAATTCATGTTTCATTCTTATGTATATTGTAGTTTTGATTTTGAGGCGAATCTCATAAACAGAAACCATATTTTTGAATAATGTAGTTCTATCAAAGTTCTAAACTTGAAATGAATAGTTGTTTAGTATAATGGAAAGGAAAACCATGGAATTTGACATTCAACTTGGCAAAAATTATAACACATTCTAATTTCGTGACTAAATTCACAAAGAACCTAATGTATTTGACATCAAACCTGTTTTACTCTTTAAAAATTTGGCCATGAACTTTAATTCATGGATAAATTCGTGGACTTATTGTCAATGTAAAATCGGTATTGGATATTCAAAATGTCTTAAAAGGATCTTAAATGTGCATTTTCGTTTGAAGGCAACACAAGGCCCTAAGCTGCCCAAATTTTATGGGTTTCTGAGCTGGCTTTAGGAGGAGATTATAAAAGAGACAAAATCACTGGATGTTGTCGCAGGACCAATTCAGATTCTGGATGGACTAAACCAATATACATATCTCTTAAGCATTAGAAAAGAGTTTGTAAAACTGATTATTCCTGTTACTTTTCAACTTTTGCTGCATTACTTTATTTAGTTTTGTGGTTTTTGGAGTGCACATATGGAAGATAAAAAATGTAGTAGTAACACCTTGTATATAAAAATACCATAAACACACTAACTTACTGGAGAATATGGTTGACATTTACTGACAAATCATTCAATTCAGGCAAATGATTCTGGTAAAAATATATTGCAACCTTGGCTGTTTTCACATCAGCTCAAACATTGGAAATTACATTTGCAATTCTTTGATTTACAAAAGTTGTGTGACTTTTGTTCAGACTGAGAAGTAATTCAATACTCATTAAAACCAGGTGCATCCCTAATTATGGCTTAAGTCCAGTATATATTTTATGCAATAATATTGTAGACTCTGACAACTTCAATTAATCTACCTTCCAAATTGGAGTTGTGGATAAATGTTTACATTGATAGCTAGATATACGAGCCCAAACAACTAAATATTTGGACACCTTTGCTTGTACAAGGGGACCAATGAATTAACTGGCGCCTTCTAAAAATGTTTAGCGATCAATTTATACTGATAGATAAGCATAATAAACAGATATTTTTAATAGTGGCACCTCTGATTTCAACTTTATTACTTTAAGACAAACAAATTCACTAAAATATCGTGAAATATGGTGACAACTAAATGTTCGGACAGGTCAAGAAGCATAACATTAGAGATAAGCAGAGGCTAGCAGGCTATGCAAAAACAATTGAGGGTGATACCAATGTCAAAATACCATTTATGTCAACGTCTTCAGAAATTGTATTAGTATCTAATATTCATGCAAAAATGGTGCAAACTGTAGCCACTAACCAGAAAGTGAGGCAAATTATTATTCAGCAGTTTTGCAAAAGCAAGCCAATACGCAAAATATCAAATGATCTTGTTATCCCTAAGTCTACAGTTTCGGACATCATAAAAAAGTATGGCGAAACCGCCAGTACTGATGTGCGCGGTAAAAGTCCAGGTCGACTGAGGATTGTGACTGAACGGAATCGAAGAGCTTTGGTCAAAATCTGCAAATCAGGTAGACGAAACACTTTAAGGGCAGGTACTGCTCAGTGGAACACAAAGTGTGGAATGCAGGTTTCACGAGAATGCTGTCGAAAATACATTCATAAATCTGGAATCAAATTTTATAAGGTATGCATTATAAAATTATTATTGCAAAATAATATTAAAATGTTTTTTCATTAATTAGGCTAAAGAAAAACTGCTTCTAACTGAAGTCCAAAAACAAAGGTGCTTAATTTGGGCAATATCAAAGCGCTCTTGGACATATGAGAACTGGAGCAAGATCATATTTAGTGACGAAGTCAAATTTGACGTTTGCGTAGGCGATCATCGGAAAAGGGTCATCAGAAGCAAAACTGAACCTTCCACAAAGGCTGCATTAAACGTATAGTGAAATTTCCCAAAGGTATTATGGTGTGGGGCTGTATGACTGCAGTTGGAATGGGATGTCTTCATTTTGTAGATAGCACAGTAAATGCAGCTAAATACCAAGAAATCCTTGAGAACACATTATTGCCTACCATAGCAGACTTATATCCTGACATTTACCAGCAGGACAGCACATCATGCCACACTGCCAAAAGCACAAAACAATGGTTTGGACATCATGACTTACATGTCCTCTCCGCCAGTAGTCCCGATTTAAATGTGATAGAAACGGTCTGGCACAAAATGAAACAACATTTGAGAAACCATCCTCAGAGAACAAAAACTGAACTGTGTGTGAAATTGCAAGAAATTTGGAGTTCGTTTACACAAGAAAACTGTCAAGCATTAGTCAAGACCATGCCTGCAAGAATTCAGGCGGTAATTAAGGCAAAATGCGATGTAACAAGTTATTAGTTAAGTTATATTTTGTAGTGTCCGAATATTTAGTTGCCACATATTTTTGAGAAGTTTAGTTTTTTTGTTAGTTTAAATTACTTATCAAGAAAAACAAATATTATTATCAAAAATAGGTCACATTTTGTATAAACTATCAATAAAAGTTTTCGGTACAAGTTTACTATCTTGTTCTGTAATTTTATATTTATAGAATTTAAAATGGTCCGAATATTTAGTTGTTTGGGCTCGTACAAGTTTACTTATCTATTTACACATATAAGAAGCTAAGATATCCAGCTACCATTTAGAATTAAAGTTGATAAAATTTCACAAACATATATAATTATTTAATTTTATTTTCAGCTACGGTGGAAACCTTAATATGCAAAACTGTCTAACAAATAAATGTGTGGCTTATGCATTTTTTTATAAAAGGAAATCAAATCTAATAGTGTAGTATATTCTGAAAAACATGTAAATGGCTTTATAAGGAGCAATACATACCTGCAGTCGATTCCGAACATGACCAGATATTGCTGGAGGTGTCACAAGTTCATTGTAAGCTAGATTAAGATGCTTCAAATTTGGTAGCTGATTAATTACTTTTGCATTTCTTAGGCGATTATGGCTTAGGTCCAGCATATGCAGAGAAATGGTATACTCAAAAATATCATTAATTTCCTCAAGATCATTATGAGAGAACTTGGCCTTCTTCAGTTCACCCCAGTTGTATCTACTGCTATGATCACCACCACATTTTTCTAAAATATCATCTACGTTTTTTAAACAATGTATACAGACTAGTTCTTGCAACTGTGGTCGCAGTTTTTGAATGCCCACAATAAGGTTAACATCAAGCTTATGAATCTCTAGCATTTTCAGATTTGTAAATCGCCTAATGTCAATGATATCCAAGGTGCTTATTGTGTCAGGAATAAGTTTCAAAAATGCTGTTCTTCCAATAAGATCCAAGAAAAATTGTGCATCTCGTACCACAGCACTTTTATTCGACTGGATAGTCTGAAATGAAGAATTGGCATCCAGATTAGCATCCATTGTATCATTTATTATTTTCAGACAACTGGTGGAAAGACACAATTTCTGTTTACCACTTATCACATCTTTAGCAACTTGCTTCAAATGATTTGTTAGTTGATGAATACTGGTTTCCATTTTTGTGCTTTTTTTATTCTTTTATCAAGTTATACTCATTTTTCTTCAAGTTTAAATAAATAAAGAAATTATAAAATTAAAGACATTTCACATTGTTTATCTGGCGACGACGGACGTCGTTTACGTTTACAGAGTTGACAGCACAAAACATATACACTGACAGGTGACAGGTGCGCAAGTTGTATAAAACACCATAAAACACAAACACAAAATTGTGGACATCCGCCTTAAGGTATATTTACATTGGCCGACTTCGTCGTTTGACAGGACCGCCAGCAAAGAGTCGCACATATTTTGTGAGTCGCACCAGACGTGTACGTTCATGCAAGGGCGGATTCAGAATTTCGTCTAGGGGGGGCGCTAACGATATTTGGGGCTGTTCATTTTTTAACCTCAGGGTATTTTCTAGAATTTATCCTATTATTGCTCCTTTGCCCCATTGTGTTCTATCTGGCCAGCTTGAAAAAAAAAACCATGGAAAATGCTCAGAAATCCTCAAAAAGGCAATATTTTATTATATGAGAACAAAATAAGTACGTGGCATGGATAATTAACTAGTGTAATAATATTAAAGATTCAAACATAAAAAACTTCATTGCTGGTAACAAAAAAAAAATCGTTCTGAGGGACTGCGAGACATATCCCAGTCCATTCCACACAAAACAATGTTTTTGATTGCGAAAACGAACACGACACGGTTAGGATGGGAGGTTAAAGTCAGGCGGGTCTGCCTAGCAGGCACATCGCGTGGCGGCATCGTGGAAGAGAGCTCTGAGGAGCAAAGCGCGTTGGTGTAGCGGTACAAGAGAACTAGATCGCCGATAGCCCGTCTGACGAAAGGGCCTCGAGACTATCTCTTAGAGAAAACTCATCGATCAGTCGGACAGCCCTCCTCTGGTCAGCATCGAGCATAAATAATGTAGTCGGGGCAGCATCAATGTGTGAGCAATATTCGAGGCTAAGCCTTATCTGGGCTAGGTATAGAGTGAAAAGGTCATGCGGAGAAAAGTATTTCTGAGCCCTAAACAAATAGCCTAACTTTTTCCCAGCAGCTGCCGCTCTTGACGAGATGAGTTCGTGCCAGACCAGGTCCTCGGTGATCTGGACTCCGACCTGTCGAAGTGAATGGCTCTTTGGCAGAGCTCGGCCATCCACCGAAACCGGGTAAGCTTTAGGACGCTTTTTGTTCGTCAAGGTACAGTACTGTGTTTTGGAAGCATTCAATTGTACAGGATTGTTGAGTCCCCAAGCAGTGATAACTTCCAGGTCTCTCATCAGAGAGAAAGTCTTCTTTTTTCCAGTTCAGGGGCAGAGATCGGCTGTCACTCTGGATTGATCGTGCAGGAAAGGAGGTCGTTGATATGTAAGAGGAACCGTGTCGGACCCAAGACCGATCCCTGGGGATCACCCCCGTTGACGTTGTGGGATGAAGAGGAGAACCTGTCAATTACGACGGATATCTTGCGGCCAGAGACAAAGTCAGCCACCCATCTGCAAAACTTTTCTGACAGGCCCTAGGATGGAAGTTTGCTTAAAAGGGCAGCGTGTCATAGCTGATCGAACGCTTTCGTGATTTCAAAACATACTGCCTGTCGCTAATCAAGCATTGTCATTCGAGATAGTCCAGAAGCTCGCGATTTAGGCACCTCTAAATCACCTTACTTATAACGTAATACAGAGCTGTAGGCCTGTAGTTGTAAGGGTCGGTCTTAGATCTCTTTTTTGGGATGCGTTAATCATGAGCGATTTCCAGTTTTCTGGGAAGGTGCCAGATTCATAAGGTATCTGGAAGAGACGCGAAAGAATTGGAGCAAGCTCCGCTGCACACCTGTCCAGTACAATGGCAGGAATCAAGTCTGTTCCAGAAGCTTGGTTGATGCCGACCGACAAGAGCACTCGTCTTACGGTCTTATACCTGAATGTTACTTCCCGAGTAGTGTAGGAAACCCTTTGAATTGACGACACTTGGGCGTTGGAGGGGACGTCCATGGTGGTGTTGGCAGCAAAGATCTTGGCAAGGACCTCCGCCTTGGCCTTTGAGTCGGATACAATCTTTCATCCTGACACGTAAGTGGTGGAAGGCTGCTGTGTGGGAGTTTAATTTCAACCTGCTTGGCCAGCGTCCAGAAAAACTGACTGCCATTGCGCTGTGACCCTGGTTTAGGCCCTTTCACCGTATGAGGGATGTATTCCTCCATTCCGACGTGGATAATTTTGGTTATCGAAGGACAGCCGACGTATCCACGTCAGTGAAACAGACATCTCTGCAAGGAAAAGTAGAAAAGAAGTCTCTGAGCCCCTCCCAGTCGGCATGTCCGTAATGCCAAATTTTGCGGCCTGTCCGAGTTTCTGCTGCCACAGCGGGTTCTGATCGAAATCTAACCTCCACAATACCGTGGTCTGAGCTACCCAGGGGATAGGACAGCAGTGCTGTAAGGGACAGGATGGGTGGTCAGAAATAGAGCCAGCAGGCTACTGCCATGCGACGAGACGCGGGGGAAAAAGTAGGGCCCGTCACCAGCCGTTGAGTAAGAGCGAAACGCTTCAACTGCTCTATCGGTCTTTTTTGAGCCCAACCAAAGCAAATTATATTCATTGAAATCACCGAGGAGGACTAGTCGATCTAGACGGCGAGGTATTCAATAAGGTCATCCCAGTTATGGTCCGAGGGAGAGCGATAAAGGCAGCAAATAAATTTGGGGGATGTTTTGGAGTTGAGGCGAAGCCACAGAATGTACTTCCGGTCTGATTCCAGATAAACATCCCTGCAGCAGGAAAGACTGCTGCGGACAAAGACCAAAACTCCCCCGTTCATTCTCAGATTGGTGTGCACCTCGTTATTTAAATGTTATATGACGTGTAGATCACGAAAAACCATTATCACTCATTTCCATCGGTATATCTGTCCGACTGTTGGTTTGTCCGGTGATCCTTGGCCTGCTCGGATTTGAGGATTTTTTTTCAGAAGGTTACTACTCCGCGAAGGATAAAAAAGCTTTGTGGCTTTTGAAAATCGGTCCAGTGGCGGCAGAGAAAAAGGCCAAAAACGAGAAAAAAAAACATAAAACATCGTTCAAACGTCACGTTGACGTTTCAGAGGAACCTGATCATTGTTGAGAAACAAATTAATTTGACTAACTTCATATCTCTTGTTTTATTATTTTCATCCAAGTGGATCAACTTCATTGATCATCATCATCATCATTAATCATTAGAATACCAAGTTTAATCTAATTTTAATAAGTTTCTGTTCAATACAGCATTAAAGCTAAAGTCAGAATTTGTAAAAAACAGATCCAAAGGCATAAATGTCCGTTATTCTACCACTTTATTCTCCTAACACATCTACAAATTGACTTTCGGTTGGACCCTATTCTCTAAAATGTTTTTTCGTTAGATGAAGATACGATGCGAGCTCTATTCTTCCGGGAGTCCTTGCTGGTCAGCTTTCTTGATAATTTAGATGAGATTGGTGCTTAGCCTTCATGTACAATTATACACTGGCAGACTTGTCGAGAGAGAATCTGGGCAAGCGGAAGATGAAAGCCTCCCAATGGCTGGATGTCCAAGATAAGGATCTTCTGCATGGGGATCTCAATACCTGTGGAAGGTACAGATTAGGTTAAATTGGGAAAAGACTGCGTTCTTTTGTGTAAATACACGTGATGGTGTTTTTAAACTTTCTGACCGACGTTATATTACGTTATATTAGTTTACTTAAATTTAAAGAAAAATGTTACTTTTTATTTTATTTAAGTAGACATTACAAACATATGCTTAATGTAAGATTTTGTGATTACTGGTAGATGCATAGTACTTAAGTATTCCATAATGATATGATGGGATAAAATTTTATAAAATGATGCTTAATCTAGTGATATTCAGAATAACAAAGACATGCTTAACATCATTTTTATGTTATTCACAATAGGTGTTCAAATAGGTTGATATTATTTTCTAAACATAATGATCTTACAGTAGAATTCAAAACATCACGTAACATTTCGGGTGTAATCATACTGAATGCTTCCATTACACATTCTCGTAACTGCTAATCAGTTTCAAAAGCATGCTGATAGACTTGGTTTTTAATAAAGCCCCAAGCAAAAGGGTCCAGAGGAGTTAAATCCGGGGAACGCGTTGGCCAGGACACTCCACTGGAGGTTCCAATCCACCTTCCGGGAAATCGCTGAGACAGATACTGTCGAACTAGCCCAGAGTTATGTTCAGGAGCATCGTCTTGTTGAAACTAACATCTATTAACCTGTGCCAAAGGTAAATTATCCAGGCCATACTACTTTTGAAGGGAAATTAAAATCGTCACACGTTCGCTATCCCCTGGTCCTTGGCAAATCCTGAATTTTACGCAAAATAAATTGGGCAATGGATTAAGGCCCGTATCGTCAGTCGTCCCTACAATTGTAGGGCGCATTTATGGCCTCCTTGATTGTCATACTCCTTTCTCTCCTTCAAAAATTTCTAGATTACACTTGTCCCGTGTCATCGTCAGCGCTCTCCTATTGTGGAGATATGTTTTCTTTTTAAATTGTAGGAAATTTCAGGCTAATAAAACATGATATAACTCAAAAGCAAGCACAATTTGATGCAAATAGATGTTTGTGACATAACCTCAAAATAGAGTTCTGACACGGAGAAGTAAAAAACTATGACAATCAAGGAGGCCATAAAGGCACCCTACAATTGTAGGGACGACTGACGATACGGGCCTTAGTTACTCCTAAATGTTTTTCATTTTGCCTTATTGATATCTCATAGTTCTCAGTAACTCCTCTTTACACACTATTCTAAGTTTCCTCTAAGGATTCCTTTTTTCGAATTTTTGAATGAACCATTTAAATTCCGAGACAACTCTAAGAAAATGGAAAGTCGGATATGTTGTACCGGTCTGTAAATTGTGTACCACCTCAATAATTCATGAACTATTGATTTCTAATGCCAACTGTTCAGCTTGTTTGTTGGCGCTGGCAACAAAACGTGTCTGACAAAAACTTGCAACCGACGGTCGTTCGGGAATCTTCATATTTTCTGATATGTGAAAAACTGTTTTACGCAGTATTATACAATCTTAGATAAGCCTTCATGTCCAAATAATCGCTTTCTGCTAGTTGGGGTGGTATTTCTCGTAATCACTGATTATTTCATAGGATCTC